TTCCTGATTAGGTGGGTGGGTTCACAGAAAGAGTCATCTGCTGCTTTCAGTGCCAGTATGTCAGTATGTGTGTGCTCCTTTGTGTCCCTGTGATTTGAATTACATTGTGTCATAGCTTTGCCCTTGAGGTTAACAAGCAAGAAGAGCCCATGGAAAAAAGCATTTAGATTTTCCAGGTGGTGCCTCAAAACACTGCTTGGGATGAGCTGCTGTTGTGCTAGCTGTTGTAAAAGTCACAATGAATATTCCTGCTGTCCAGTTGCATTTTGATAGTCACAAGTAGTAAGTGCTTATCAAAACAGATTATGTTTCTGGGAAGTTGGATCTTTTGGAGATCATCTGTCTGCTTGGACACTTGCTGGCAGTATAAAATGTAATAGTTAAAAGTAAGCTCTAGGATACAAATAATTTCTTGACTTAATTTTTAAAACCTCAGCCTGGGCAATTTATTTTCTGTTTATTATGGGGCAGTAAGATACATGGAGCTGTTACCCATGTTTAGTATTAAATAATCTTGCTCTATGTCCACAGTGGCTTTCCTCAGGCCACTATTAAGAAATACATAACAACTATTCATCTATTTATAGGCTGCTTCCTGCTAGTGCTTGTAGCTCCATTTTACTCCTTATGGGAACTTGTTAATTTGCAGGTGTATAAGCCAAACATGTTTCTATAAGGCAAATGATGTTTTGTAGCAGGAGGCTAACAATATTCAGTGTGCTTAGCCTTACCATCTTTTGTTTTCTGAGAAGAGAATTGGACAATAACAATTGTCTCAATTTAAGCATGCAAGAAAAACATGTCCTGTGGTTTTTTTTTCTGTAGTGTGTAGTGTAGGTAATCACTGAACTCTTAGCTTAAAATTTATTTTATCTCATGAATTTTGACACTTGCTTGTCCAAATATATACACTGTATTCTGACAGATTAAAATGTTTGCTGGGTGGGTGTCATGACTACTGCTTTGAAATATTTCCTATTTCTGATAAGTTTCCATGCTTATAATACTCAGACAAAACCCAAAGTGGTATGGCAGAAAATTTGCTCTTTTATCTTTCAGAAATAGAGCATTGGCTGGCTCAAGACCAGCCATGAACGCCTATGCTCTTAGCATTTTCCTAGATTACAGAAATAAAAATGTTGTTGGCTGTAGATTAATAGGAAAAGTTAAGCCTTATTGAAAAGACTGACTTTTACTGCCTATAAACTTGATGTTGCAGTTTGAACTGGGCTGAGTTTTATCTGTGTCTGCTGGTCCATAAATCGTATTTAACAATTGTGTAACTACCCATCATATTTTCTTTTATATTACATGAAGCAATATACCAGATTTTTTTTTTAAAGTGTAGAAGAGCCTGAGAGAGAATCTGCTTCCTTGTGCTGTTTTATGTCTGGCTAAATGCCAGTATCAGTGTGTTGTTTATTGTTTTCTTTTTTCATATCTGGTTCAAACTGATAAAACATCCTCTTCCTTTTGAATCTGACAAATGACTAAGAAAGAAATGAGTAACATTTAGGAGAAGCTCAAGGAAGAAAATTCTTCATTAATTTTTACATAAATGATATTTCTGTAAATCAAGTACCTCACTGATTAAGTAGGAGAAGTCTGTATTTAAGACCTCAGCTTCAGTGAGCTTTAGATTCTTTAAAAGCTTCTCATGAGGCAGGATTTTTCCTTTTAATCTTGTATTTACAGCATGCAAACAAAATGTAAGCAAAGCTTATATTCTTTTAAGATTCCTTTTCATGAATTTTATAATTGTGGTAAGCCAGTTTTGTGACTACAGGGCAAAGAGAGGCATTTGCAATTAATTGGATGATTTTTAAAGCTGCATTTTTGGGTTTTGAATTAGCTGTGCTAGACAAGTGTGTGTGTGTGTTTGCATGCCCATGAAATAATTTTAGTTGCATTTTCTTTAAAAGTAATCCCTTTCCTCTGGTTTTGCTGTTAAAATGAGAGAAGCCAGAGCTAGCTTTCTTCCAATCTTCACCTCTCACCTTCCCAAGAGAATTAACAGGATGGACATAGTTCTTCAGTACCTGGGAGAAGTGGATGAGAGTGCTGATCATGTGCAGCACCATGTAAAAGCCATTATATATTTGAGATGACAGCTTTCCCTTGCTACCAGGCTGTGGAATTGGGGCTGCCATCTATCCACTTGCTAGTTCAAATAGTAGCTGTTCTGCTTTGTGAGCTTTCTGACACTGTTGACCAAGCATGTGTTTATTCTTTCCTTTGAAAAGCTCCCCAGATTTCTCCAAGTGGTCACACAGCGTCTGAGCAGCATTTCAGACAATCTGACTGGAAGGGCCCTGGTTGGAAGGAATTCTCTCAAACCAGATCACCTCCTAATCTCTCACAAAAGCTCTGCCTCAGTTGCTGGTCTTTGTGTGAGAAGGCCACTTCTCAGAAACATGCCACGAGAGAGGGGAAGGGTCCTTCTGGTGTCAGCCCTGCTTTTGATTGCTTTAAGCAATTGTGAAGCCAGACCTTCTCAGCTAACTGCAGAGACTGTCCACACAAATCAAATGGTCTCTCTCTGCACAGTTTAATTTGCATTATTTATTTTTGTTTCTCCTAAAGGTCAGTCATACTGTACCACTCTCAAACCAACCTGTCACCACAGCATGTTGTGTGTCATTTCTCATGAGAAACTCTTGAGAAGGAGTGGTCACATGAGAAAGGCAAACTTGACCAAAAGGAATGACTGGGCCATGTTACTCTAGTAGTCTCTAAACCTTTCTTTAATGTAAGAAAGAGTGTATTGCATAAGAGCTCAAGCTCAGTGGTTGGCAGGTGGGCATCTTGCTTGCCTGGATAGGTAGAGAGAGACCTGTCACTGAAAGTGAGAGAAAGGTGAGCAAAGGCTGGTTTGTTTTCTGGCTGATGATGTGTTGCCTTGTACTTCACTTTCAGACCAGTAAAGTTTGAAATGCTCTTTGTATTCTGTTATCTCTCTCTCTGTGCTTAAGGGAGAAAATTTGTAAAGGACAGTTATTGCCTTAGTGAATGAGTTGGAAGAGGTGAAGTTACTGTGGCTTATTTGGAATCAGAGCTGGTTATGACAATCTGTTGGAGTGGGGCTGCTCAATCTGAAATTTTGTGAAGGGGTAATTTTACAGTGTGTAGGAAATGTTTCAAATAGTTGGGTGGACAAGGTGTTAAGGAAGTGTGGAGCACATAATTTCATTAGCTTGGGATTCACTGCAGCAGTCTGAGCACTCAAATGCGAACTTGCAACCAAAATATTTTGTGTAAATTAGTACATTAGAGGAAACATAATCTTTTCTTAGGTTGTATGTGCCTTTTCTGAGCTAATTGTCCAACCATTTAAGCTGCAGAAGAGTGCATGACATAAACTTAAGCCTTTTCTGATGGACACTGACATTAGTTCTTGGCTTTGTGATAACTCATGTTCATGAATGACAGGAGAAGATGAGGCAGTAGCTGGGCTTCAGGTGAGAAGCTCTCCAAATGTGTCAGGGTACAGTATGGAGTGAACTGAACAGCCCTTCTCCATCTCATCTGAGCAGAAAGATGTCAAACACAGCATAATAATCATGGCTTTAGAAGTATTGGTCTGTGCTGAGTGTGTTGTCATATAGCTGATGAACTTCTTGTAAATGCTTCCTGTGTGGTTGTAAATGGTAGCTGTTTTTCTTAACAAAGCCACATTTTGATCATAATTTTGGGTAGATTTTTCCAGACTTTGCTTTTTTTTGCCTCTTCAGCTGTTATGTTTTGTTATGTTTCCATATTTTTCTTGCCAATAAAACTATTGTGTGGTACATATGAGGGAATCTCAAATAGCTTTTAAATAGCCTGTGAACTAACCCTGAAAACTTTGGTGACTTTCTCTGACCAAAGCTTTCCTAATTCCTTGACAAACAAATTTATTTGATTCACTTTTGGATGAAGAAAACACCTGTAGGGTTTCTCAGGAAGATTATTAATATACTAGTGATTAACAGCAGTTACTGATAGAGATATTTGTTCTGTGTAGGACAATTAGAATTTGGGAGGTTATTATCATGAGTAATATAAAACAATATATAAAGTTTATCTTGTTATTTTACCTGTAATGATGGCAGAAGTTGGTCTGGCTGCTACAATTATCTTTAGTTATCAGTGGTACTATAAATTAGTACCACTGATCTTGAGAAAGTATAATTTGTAAAGTCTCTTGTAATTGTTACTTGTAAAAAAAATGTAATTTTATGTCTGTTACTGTGATGCTGAATTTCAGTTGCAGAAAGTTCAAGCTGGATTGTAACCCCATCTTTGCATTAGTTTGCACACTCCAAGGCAGAGCTGCCTTGTTCAGAGCTCTGTCTGAACCTGCTTTGCCATCTGACCACTTAACAGAATGCTTGGCAGGGTGAAGGTTTTTCTCTGTCTGATTGTGCAGGGGCAGCTGTAATGTCTCATTTGTGGAAAGGGGTTTTAATGTGGAATCAATGCACAGTTACTGAGGAAAGCTACATGTGCAATTAGGAGGGAAGTAGATGGCCTATGGGAATTTTGCAAAAAAAAAAATAGAAAGAAGGAGGAATGTCAATTAGCTTGCCCTTGCTGCAGGTTACTGCTGAATTAAAACACAGCTCAGACTTTGAGCTAAGGTTGTTTTCATTCCTCTTAAACCCAAATCAGAGCTTTCTGGGCTATATCAAGCAAAGGCAACCATCAACATAAGAGACTAGTCATTTTTTTATAATTTTTTTTGCAGTGAGAATACATATGTGATTATGTTAATAAGCTCTGGCTTACTGGATTTTGTGAAAAAGTTCTGAGGCAATCAGCATGCTTGTCTCTAATTGTCACTTGCACTTCCCCATATGGTGTAACATGACAAAGTCTGCATTTTGAATACTGTATGTTTTTGATGTAGATGCAATATAATCCTGCCAATCTTTTAAAGAGTAACTTCTAGAATAAGTCAATAATTGTAATTTTCCCTCAATATACCTGAATTTATTTTGATTTTTTCTTTTTTCCTGTAGGCAAAGCCAAAACTTATAGAACCGATAGACTATGAAAATGTCATTGTTCAGAGGAAAACACAGATTTTGAATGATCCTCTACGTGAGATGCTACTGTTCCCTTATGATGACTTCCAGGTAATTTAATCCACCCTGGTTTTGTTGTGGGGTTTTTTGTTTGCTTGGGGTTGGTTTCTTTTTTTACCACAGGTTTTTAGTAGTAGGAGCCATGAGGTGATAACTTCCTATTTCTTAACTCTCTTTAGCTTCAAAAATCCCCACAAAATCTTTGCTGTGAGTCCCATTACCCTGCTTGATTAACTCTTTTGGGTACAGAAGAAATAGCACAATTTCCTCATCAGACCATATTAGAAGATCTACTTCTGCAACTCAACACTTTTACTGCCTTTTGAAGTAAATGATCAGTCACTTGTAGGTATTCCCCCTCTCTCTCCAATGTAGGAAATTATGTGATGACTGTTTAAAAAAACATCAGCTTTCTTTAATTCTTAAACTGATTTTTCCCCCCCATTCTTAATAGTGAAAGACATGAACCTCTTCAAATGCAGTCTGCTACTCTTAGCTGCATCATCCCAGCCAAAACTGTGTTCTAGCAAAATACCCCTTACATAAGAGAGTTTCTGACTTGATTAAGCCAGACTGAACCAAACTTTGTGATGATCTTGTTATATTTTTTTTAATGACGATGTTTATAGAAATAAATAGTTTATTTCAGTACACTTCTTAAAAAATCTTCTTGTAGATCTTGTTAGGATAACTACCAAGCATCTTAGACACTGGGGTTGGAGTAAATAGTGAGGAAAGTCTCTTGTCTACATGCCTATACCTGTAATCAAAATGTCTATTTGAAAAGTATACAGACATCTGAACAATCTGTAAATTAATTTTATTCAACCAAGCAGTTGAAGCTAAGTTTGTTTACTGTGGGGAAAGTTGATGAGTTGGTATATTTCTATATTTTAGATGAAGGACATCTAAAATCCTATAAATTACATCTTGAATTTGTAATTAATTTTCTCTGGCCTAATAGAGTGTTTACCTGAATGCAGCTGGACTCTCTTTTTAATACAGTCTGGGGACTTCTTTTTCTTTGATCCTAACACAAATAACTCTACTTGTAGTCTTCCCACTCTCAGCTAAAATTTTTGAGTTTTGGGAAGCTACAGTTATTTAGAGAGGAGTTTGGGCTTCATGTGTTCCCAGCCATACATGGAAGTTTATAGGAGTAAAACTTCTTGAAAAGGAAGTTGTACTGAGACAAGTTTCGAATACAGAATCTCTCAGGATGATACCCTACACCTGCAGTTGCCTTCAGGACTGAAAAACATGAGTAGGCTACACCACCAAAATCCCCTTCTGCAGTGTGCCTCTTCAGTATCACAGATCAAGAGGAATCCAGGTTACTTCTGCTAAGTGTGCCCTTATTTGATCACTGGTTCACTTCCCAGGGTCATTCCAGTGAGCAGCTCTGAATTATCAATGGAGAAGAAACAAAGCCATCAAGAATATCCTCAGGCATTTTGTCTGAGCAGTCTGGGGGTATGGCTGAAGTGTTTAACTGCTATTTCTAGTGACCTCCTGCAATTCTTAGCCTCAGGCCTCTATGAATGAAGCTAGTCCATAGCTCAGTCTCATCCTTCAAAAGGAATGACTGCAATTTGTCATAAATCATGATGGCTTTTGTCATCCTTTGTTTGAGTTCTGCGGTCAGATTTTCATCAAGGCAGGCATCAAAGTGTGTATTACATTGGAAGATTTCCTTCAAGTAATCACAGTTTTGGAATATAGTCAGTTTTCCTGTTTCTTTATCTTTCATCAGTATAATACCTGAACAAGTTTTCTGGGTTCCCCCAGTTTTGGCAGTCTCATTTTATATGTGATTTACATGAAGACAGGTTTGTACTATCAAACTGTATTATCAAACTTTTATTTCCTTCGAAGACTTGCTGGCACAAACTAAGTCCAAATATTTTTGTTGTACACAAACTCTTCTGCACTACTTTGATCTATCTAGCTTGTTTTCAACAACATAAAACGTTTAAATCTGTCATTCAATATATTCAGCAAATATTTCTAAGTCAGAGAACTGAAAACTCTTAAGTGCTTGTTGCTTTTATTTGAAAGTTAGACCTTTTAACCCTGTTCAGTTTTCCATAGCCATATTTACAGGTTTGAAATCACTAGTCATTATATAGTTGCCAGTATCATTTATATAGTTGCCAGAATCATATATAAAAAAATATTAAGGCATATTTTCTGTGTTTGCCATTCAGCTTCACATGTATTTTTTTAATTCCTCTATCTTGTGGCTGTCACTCAGTGTCTGAGCAGCTCTTGGGTAAGCCATGGCTCAAATGTTTGATAATGGCTTCATCCCCTTCAAGAAAAAAATTAAATAGTGAACTAGAGCATTTAGAACTATCTGTAAACACACTTAGGAGTGTTTATAGGTGGAAATGCCTACCATTGTCTAGAAACCTGTTCAAGCTATTTCCTTTCAGAGCATTCAGTTTTTATCTTTACAAAGTTCTTCCTCAAACTTAGGTTAAATTGATTACAATCTGAAAACCCTTGCCTGGAAAGGAAGCCCAGCAGTGCTAATTTATAATGACATTAAGAGTAAGGTTATTTTGTTCAGCATGGCCCTAAAACTAGCACTTAAAATGGCATGGGAAATACTTAGTTTGCAGTACTAGATACCACTTCTAAAATTTTTGGAACATTACAGAAGAAGCTGCGTGTTTTCAAAAAAGCACCATTGATGACACCACCCCTGAATTTATGTTAAAGTTTAAATTATTTAGAGAGAAATTGGAAAGAAATATTTGTGCTTGATTTGGATTTTTTCAGGTAATGCAGTTAGATAACTGAAGGTTAATTTATTAGGGGTGAGAAGCTATTATTAATGGAGCACCAATATTAATTTTGAGTCCATATCAGTAGTGAAAAAGCACAGCAACTGGCTTTTTTTGGATCACATATAGCTCTCCTCTCTTCCTCTCTTTTTCTCTTCCTCAGATTAAAATTGTCTAGTGAGAGAAGGGGGGAAAAAAGCAACACAAAAGTGGAAAATAACTATTTTTCTGTCAGGTATGACTGTTCTCTAAACATGCTGTCAGAAGCAGCTCTAAGCTCAAATCACTACCAAAGAAACATTTGAGCAAGGATGCTCAAAATGCTCAGAAAATGCTTCAGTCTTGGAAAGCTCATAAAGTTTGAAGGATTGTTCCTCAGCCAGCTATCTAGTTACAGGAACCTGTCCAGATTTCCACTTAACTGCATTTGCTGTTGTCCCAAATGTGGTTAGCTGAGGTTATGAAACCTATTTTCTCTCTTTTTATATATGTTTGATAGCAGTTCATTTACTTTTCATAAGAACATGATTTCTGTTCTGCTTTGTGCAGAGCTTCAAATCCAAAAAAGTTGGCTTGTAATTTTTTTCTTTCAAGGTTTTTTTTTTCTTTCATGCTATTATATCTAAATAATAGCAAGATTTGCTTTTCTGTAGTTACCAGAAGAGCTCTTAATCAGCAACTTCATCTCCATATATTGGGTCTTTTTAAATTTACCACTTGAAAATTGTTTCAGCTGCTTTTCACAAGCTCAAGCTCTGAGTTTTCTGCACTGAGTTCACCTATAAGGTTACTCCCTACCTTGTTCTCAACAAGTTTATAGGGGCAGACCTGTTGTGTTTGGACACATGTTTTGCTGTTGGCATCCCTGAATTTGCTTTCATTCTTAGTAAGTGGGGTGTCTAAATTTTGTTCATGCTTTTCAGTCTGTTCATTTTTAGCTGCATTTTTGTCCTCTTTTTCATTTTGTTGCCTATACAATGTGTTTGTTAATTATGATGGTAGAACCACTTTTCTGCCACCCATTGGAACATCTCTTGCTACTTTCAGTCACAACAATGCTGACAGATTTTCAAGGCTTTCCCTCTTCTAACCTCTTGGTGGGAAGAGCCATCTCCTTTGTAACAGTAAATTACTATATCCATTGGATACTCTTGTATCCAAGCTTGTGCCTCTTCATGGCTGCTTGTAAATTTCTCACCTGAATTTCAGTAATTTCCTCAATAATGAAATGGCTTCATAACAAAATAGCATTAGTTTAAAACAGGCCACCTTCGTGGTGGTGGTCACGTTGAAGTCATATGCTCAATGACTGCAAAACTGATGATGTTTATTTTAATTGCACAGTGGTAAATTATTTAAAGGAACCTTAACCCAAAGCAGTACTAGTGTGTACTTAGCAATAAGTCACCCTTTATCTAAATACTTTTTTTTCTTTCAAAATACATACGTTTTGAGTACTACCTCCATTTTTAAAGGAAGTCATAAAACCATAGAAGGGTTTGGGTGGGAAGCAAACTTAAAGATCATCTTGTTCTAACACCCTGGCACAGGCAGGAACACCTTCCACTACACCAGTTTGTTTTCCAGCCTGGCCTTGAACATCTCCAGGGGTTGAGCATCCACGGCTTGTCTGGGCAGCCTGTTCCAGTAACTCACCACCCTCACAGTAAAGAACTTTATCCTAATATCTCATCTAAACTGCTTTCTTGCAGTTTGAATCCATTCCCCTTTGTCCTGTCAAATGATGCAAATTCAGGCTAAATTTGCTTGTAGCAAATAAAATGTGGGTGCATTCCTACCCATATTAAATTTGTCTTTGCAAAGTTATCACAGTGTTATTTTGAAGGCAGTTTGGTGCTTTAGCTTAGACATCATTTCACCTTTGTTATTTCTGAGTTTGAGCCATTTGGATTTAACACACTTTCACTTAAAGCTCTCAGCTTTTATTTAATGCGAGTTAAGTACTTCTGAAAATAGATCTTGTGCCAACTTTGCAGAAGTAAAACTAAATCCAGGTCATTCTATGAGAAGGCACATCTTCAGTAGAGGAAAAGCAAAAAAAAAATCCAAGTAATGTCCTTATTTTAGAGAGCACAAATTAAACTCCTCAAATAACTAATTTTGAAATGTTCCAAGTAATTTCTCTATTACTTTTTCCCATTCAAATATCTTTGGTGTTTTTCCTTAAGTCTTTAGCCAACTGTTCTAAATCAATTTAGTTTGGAAATTACTTTAAAATACAGGTTCTGACACTTCCTATACAAAGGATCTGACACTTCCCATGCAAAGGTGAAGTCACTTCTGACACATGGTTATTTTAAGGGTAGGATCTCACAGCTTGCCATCTTTGCCACTGAGTCTTTTAGAACAGTTTCTGTCTCTGCATCTAGAGCATGAGCCTCTGTGGTAACAGTCTCACTGGCAAGCACAACCTTGGGGCAGAAAGAGCATCCATTGGAGTCTGCTTTCCTTGTGGACACATTCACTATCCACATTCCATCAGGTTTTGGGTAGTGAGGACTCCTTGGTTGACTTGGGGAAATGTTCTTGCTGCTGTTCTCTTTTCTGAGACCTCAACATATCCTAAATCCCTGGGACTCAGTCAGGAAGTTGTGTCAGTGAAAGTCTGTTAAGTGTTTGACTCCTGGCTCGTGTTAAAAGTGGCCTTCCTTAGTTTTGACAGCAGACTAATTAAAAGGGTTTTTTAATTTTCTTTGAGAGCATGAGACAAACACTTTATGATTCCTGGGGCTACCATAAATCAAATGATCACTCAAACCCAGAGAGTTGAAAAGTTTCATTTCTACAAAACAGTTCAGCCAATGTAGTTGTGAAGAGAGTTTGTTGAGAAGACAATCCTTCCTTTCCCAATGTGTATTTATGTGCATGCTTTCTTTTAGAATAGAATATTGTGGTGCTGCTTAAATAATTATTTTTAGGAGTTTGCTCTAAATCACAGTACCTCACTCATTGCATTTCCTGGCTCTTTGATGCACTACTGCAGCTGATGGATGTGCTGAGAAGGAGACAGATGCATTAAGACAATTACTAATATGAACAAAATTGACAAGTCAGATTCTTCTGGTTTGTCACTGATATTGAGACAGTACTAAGATAAAAAATCTTATTATGTGAGAACAACTAGAAAAAAAGCCCTTAGTATTGTATTGATAGTTGTCTAGCAGGGTAACTGCAGCAGACATTTTAAAAGTGTGTTCAGCAAATTCAATTTTACCAAATTATGCTACAGTGTTAAAATTTGATTGATGAGTTCATGGGTTTCCCATGAAAAGTGCCTGGTAAGATGCCACCTTAGTCTCTGGTTTTTCTTAAAATAATATTCTTTTAGGAAAGCATGGTATAACTGTATGCTTGTAGAATATATATAAAACTGCATGTAATATTTATACATTATATAAAGTATAAATAATTTCTCATAAAATATCAGACTATTTCATTGGAATAGTATCTAGAAATTCTGGTCTTAAGGAAGTTTATTATTCTTAATAGAAGTTTTTATTTCCATAGCTTGTGAAAATGAATACTTAATATGATTTGAAGATATTTCTAGAATTAAGAAAACTTCATTTTTAAAAGCTGTTAGCATATAAATCTGTATCTTCTTGCAGTTTGGTATTTTGTCTTTTAACTGTAGTTTGCAAGGTTTATTGGTCCCATGAAATATTTTGGGGTTTGTGGTGTTTGTTTTTAATACCTCCCCACCTCTCCCACCCAAGAAGTCAGCATTGTCACTTTCAGTGCTCTAGACTAGATGAATGAGTTGACCGTGACTATGGGATTACTTTTTTTCCCTTTCAATCTTTACTGTAATTGAATGTTCTTACTTAAATACCCCCCCCCAGTTAATGGAGTGAGCCTTTGGTAATGACCAAGATAATCAATCACCTTATGGATCAGACTCTCAACAGAGATAAGTTAAGCTAATGTACTTATGCACATTTTGTTTTTCAATATCACTTGGGGAGCTTTTTCTTATCACATTTTTATCTGATCCTTCCTGGATGTGTGGAGTCCTGTAAGTAACAGGTGAGGGACCACAACCCCCTTCCAGGCCCTGGCTGTGTAAAACTCTCTTGCTCACCTTTGATGGCCTAAGCTATGAGATTCCTTTCCAGATAGTGCAAAAAACTTCTATTGCTGTGTGGTTATTTTCATTTGTGGTCCAGAAGATTTTGTTAAGTTTTCATCTTTTTCACTTTTACAAATGTAAAGTATCCTAAGGCTTACTTCAGCACAGGTCTGAGAAGCAGAATTTCATGGTCACAGAGAAATTTCCTGCTCTCTGGTAGCCTTCCTGTGCCTCTCTGAGTTCTGACATAGGATAGGAATAAGTTCTGACTTGGTAGGCTAAAGTATACTTCAGTGACCCACACCTTCTCTCTAGACCTGCTAGTCTGAACAGTGCTAGTCTCATTTTATTTGCTTGAGATCTGCAGTTGAATTACTCTTTTATTTTGGTGTGGTTTTCTTACCTTCCTTGAATAATAGTTTTTATGTGTAGTAATAACACTACCTTAATGTCTGTCTTCAGAATGTTTGAGTTATGTTGTCATGGTGCAATTATTTTTTTCTAGTATTGTCTTCCCCATGTTGACAATGTAGTGGAAAAAACTGTCCTATGGCATCTATTCCTCACTGATTCCAATCTTGCCCTTATTGTGAAAGAAGGAACATGTCGTTTCAACGAAAGCAAATTCTCACTAATTGGCTATTCTGAAACATCATATTCATAGGATGTTTTCTGCTGAGCTTCTCTTCATTGTAGTGGTGTAACTGAGTGTGGCCATAGTGTGTCATCTCCCCTTTAATTGCAATTTTCATTAATTGCTTTTGTTGTTTATCAGACAGCATTATTGCAGCGGCAGAGTCGATACATTCGGTCAACGGTTCCTGAAAATGCAGAGAAAGAAGCTCAGAGCCTGTTTGTAACTGAGGTAATACTGCAGTTGCATGTGACTGTGTGCAATAACAATATTATACCTGACTTGTTTTTCTTCTTCATTTACCATTTAAAACAAACAGAAAAATAAGCCCTGGAAAAAGAACTAAATATTTATTGCCACTTGTCAATTATTTCAAGGCAAAATTTCCAGGAAAACCCAGTATTAAAACCCAGTATTTTTTTCCATTGGTGGCTGGAAAAGAAGTTTTGCAGGATAGATTTTAATTCTTTTGTTTGCGTCATTGGATTTTGCAGATGGTTCTCCTCCACTTCATTATGCTTTTGGCTTTTCCAGATGAACGTGGGTGATTTCAATGCATAATATTGGATCTACAATAAATCTGGAATGAATCACTGTGACTTGTTTTTTCTGATAAAGTCTCTCACACTAGCCATTCTTACTTCGTTTCAAATAATCTTGTACAGATTGCTGGAACAGAGGTATCCAGAACTGTAACGCTTGTGGAGGCCAAAATTCATTATGACTGTTCAACTTGTATGCTATATGTAGAAAAAACATCCTCAACCCTAAAGTTTCTCAGAACTGTTTGCTTAGGTTGGCATTCCTTTGGTTTTGTGAGGCTGTTCTTCATTTATTGTCTTGTCGAAGCCTTTAAGGAATTAAAGGTTCAATTGTTTTTTTTTTTTTTTTGTGTTTTCTACTGATATGTTTTAAGCTGATATTTTAACATCTGAAGCAAGTAAATGTCTGTTTTAACTCTAATAAAACTGAAGGAGCTCCACATAGCTGAATTTACATCAAAGTGTTTTATCCACACTGATAAATACCCTTAATACCTAACCTAAACATTTCTGAGATAAATTTGAAGAGGATAGACAAGAGGAGGGAGGAGTGCTAGAGGTAATTCATAGAGTTTAATGAGTTTCTGCTGAAACAATTGCTTGGCAAGTATTAAACTCATGTTTTGAAATACAAAAAAAATATTTACGATTTATTGGATGCTGTGTTTGTGTATGTGTAGGTTTATTGTGTAACATAAAATTTTGTACGGAATGGTTTCTGTCAACAGATTTTGTCAGTTTTATGTTACTTTGTTCAAAGCCAAGATAAATCAGTACTTTTATGTTGTAACAATATGGGTGGAGTAAAATGGTATTTCCTGTGATCTAGATCAGAACTTAATGACATAATTGCTTTTCAACCATTGCAAACATGCAGTCTAAATTTAAGTATTAATTTAATTGCCCTGGAAGTATAAATTCAGGAAAATAGGTTTTTGGCTTTCTGTATCGCTATGTGCACAATTGAACATTCTATTTTAATAAGGTGTCTGTTTCTGTGCTGAGCTGTCTTTGGGCTCAGTCATGTTTTCAGCTTCAGCTGAGTTTTCTAAAGACTTGGCCATGTTTTCAGCTTCAGCAAAATGCTGGTTTAACTTTCTGGACGACTGAAGATGGTTAATCCAGATGCTGAGTGCATTCATCATTTTCTGGTTTTATTAAATACATGTCTAGCATGGATCATAACATTCCATTGAAACGTATAAGTTGTTCCAAAAACCGAAATTGCATTAGACTATTGCAAAAGAAAGGAAGTGTACAGAAATTTCAGAGATTGATATGTAACCATAATAGTTCATAAACAGACATATCTTAAGAGATTTTCTTGTCCTGTGTCTATTGAATGCCTTTAATCCTCTTCCAGTTAATATTGATACTTGGTTTTCATTTAAACAGTGCATCAAAACCTACAATTCAGACTGGCATATTGTTAACTATAGATATGAGGATTACTCAGGAGAGTTTCGACAGCTTCCAAAGTAAGTCTGTTACTTAATTTGTTTAGTGGTATGATAAATTGAAATTGTGGAGGAATTTTGTATTTAATATAGACTTATTAGAGAAGTATATTAATATATATAATATATAAACTGAAATATGCTATATCCATATTTAATGGTCAGTAGAGATGATAAAGACTTGTTGGATGGAATTGATGAACTTGAATGTGTAATATCATGTTAAACCATTTGCTGGGAAAGTACTGTCATAACATTGCCTTGTTAACAGGCAAGTGAAAACAAGACATTGTATCATTGACAATGTGACTTTGAGTATGATAACTAAAACAGGCTAATGTTTAGATGAACCTAAAATGGTAATATCCTGTTTTCATTGTTTCAAAGGCAGCTTTTGGAACTCCCTTTGGGAGCTTGGGGAATAGAACCTAACTGAGATGGTTGGAGCAGGTTTTCACAAGGATGATTCAAAGTACAAGCCTAGCCGACATCTGTTACAAACTTTCTAAACCATCTGCTAGAGAAATGTTTTCCCACTTTTTCAAAATTTTGTAGGAAGAGTATAGAGATTAGAACCTTAATTCAGAATGTCTGAGAGTAGCTAAATACCCTGAATACCCCAGCTCTGGAAGATCTATGTCTTCCCTGATTGCTCTCCTGCATCTATCAGTTAAGAAATAGTTATCTTGCCCTTTGGAGAGTTCTGATCTACTCATAGGTTTTGTACAAGGCAGTACCTGGTTTTCACTTGCCCTGAACAGCAGCCACAATAGGAATTTAAAAAAATGCATTGTCCTGCAAGGAGCCACTGGTTGCAGGTATGAATTCTTACTGATAAGATATTAGGAGTGCAGTGAATGAGAAGGCATCTGTTCTCTTGAGTTCCACTTCAGCACAGTAACAAACAGAACAAAAAGGACATGGCTGCCAGATGTACAAATGAGGAAAATTGCTTTCTAAGAAGCAGAATTAATGAAAAATACATGCTTTTACTTAGTTATTCTTGTGCTTTTTCTTCTTCAGTAGGAAAAGAACATCTAAATTTTTTGCCTCAATAAAATATGTAAGTAATAACAGAGTTCCTAGTACTTCAGAAGCTTTTTCTTTTGTAGTAAAGGGACAAAGCCAGACAAGCTTCCTGTTCATTTATATGAAGTGGATGAAGAAGCAGATAAAGATGAGGTGAGATAATAACAATTCCTTACTTTCTCTTGTTTTCATTAAAGAATGTTGGGTGTGTAGAGGTTGTCAGTTTGGTTAAGTGTTGATGTCAGTACATGAAAACAAAGATTAGCTTGAACCACCTTATTGGGAAACAAATCAGTTATTTTTCTTGTCTCCTTTCAACTAACCTTGTTCTCTGGAGATCTGTCAGGTGAGCCAGAAAAAGTTTTGGCAGATAATAAAATTGAAGTTTTAGTGCTTGGTGACATATAATCCTTCAGCTGTCATAAAATCTTTTTTATACTGTGTCTATGTAGGCAGGTTTCCAGAGGGAAGTGTTTCCTGTAGTTTAATCATGGAATTGAATAAAATCATAGGTGAATCTGTTCCAGCACAACAACAGCACACACACTTCAGCATGCATGACAGTATAGCAGACTGTGTGTGTGTGAGCTAAAATTAATTCATCACAAATATGAGCGCAGGATAAGACTTGAGGAGCTGTCATGGAAACAAAGGCTTTAAAAATTGACTAAAACTCCTAGATATGTTCTCTGGTGTTGTTGACTTAGGGAAAGGAGAGATGTATAGCATCAAGCAATTTTCAAGTATATTTAGAATGCCAAAGACTCTTTTTTTCAGCAACTGCCTCTGTTATTTTTGCGATTTATTTATTTTTTACCACACCCTGTTCCAAAATATGTTTTTAAATGCCACTGTTACCTTTTCTTACAGTTACTTGAACTCTTCCATCTCAAACAGGAATGAAAATAAAATAATTTTTCTTTTTTGTGGTTTTTTTTGCCTCTTGGCAATTACTTTGCTTCTAAATTCCTGGTACTCAGAACTGCTGCATATGAAATGAAAGGATTAAATGTGAAGAAGTTGTTTGGGGAATTCATCTGAGTAGATAGATTCCCAAGCAGAGAGTCCCAGGCTGACATTTATCCAACACTGCTATTAATCTGCACTGTGATATCTGGACAAATAACTTTATGTATCTATATCCAAAACCTCCTCTTTGTAGGATGGAAATAATTATGATTACTTTTATACTCACATTTAAAAGACTTGGTATTATTTACTGTGATAATATTTCTGACAACAGAAGTGTATTAGAAAACAGTGAGTTAAACACTAAAAAATTAAATGGGTGTATAATTGACTATAATTCTAACCATGAAATACATTATGGGTAGAGTTAGTTAAACATTGAAAAACTATAATTTGGCTATTAGCAGGTAGTATGTGTTTTATTAGGAAATGTAGGTAGAGAGGAGTGCCTGTGTCCTGTAAGAATAGGCAGGAACAGGGTGTCTCTTTCAGAAGTACAATCACTGGAGGAGAGCTCTGCTGCTCCTTGAGGAACTTAGAAAATAAACACAAGAAAAGGACATGCTAGGAGGAAAAGGGAAGTTAGTGGTACAATAGAGTGGGGGGACATAAATTCTTTCATCAAGGGAAGACCTAATGCCAGAGGTGTTTGTTTCAGACATGAATATCTTTCTATGCCAAAAAGCACAGATGCAAACCTTAGATTGAGAGTTGTTTGGTCCTTTTGTTTCGCTTTTGTTTGTGTTTGAAGAAAGCTGATTTATTAAGAGAATCATAGAAAACAAAAAGCTAAAAGTGATTAAAAATTGGAGGAAAATCAGATAAATATTAGTTTAATCATACATCATTAAAAAGGAGAAAATTACCTATCCGAAGTTAATTCAGGCTATCAGGCCATCAGGTTGATGTTTGCAAATGGAATTTTTCAATCCGATATGGGATCAAGATACAGGATTGTTTTTGTTGAAACAGTTGCTGTTGAAGTAAACGTTGGAGCCAAGTTTGTGGGAAAGATCACTGTTAAAAGTGCAGCACAGTGTGCAGCAGCAATGATAAAAGTGAGGAAATTACCTTACCAGTTGGAAACAGGAAGTATGTTTTCAGTGTGAGAGTGGTGTGTTAACAACTGGATCCTGGGTTCCTTTGTATGAACAGATGGTCAGCTGGAAAGATTCAGTAGCTTTTTGGCTCTCTAGCCAGGAATTCTGCCTAACAGAAGAAATGCTGTAACTAGAGAGGCCCAAATGATGCTCAGTTCTATTGCTAGAAAACAGCATGCAGCTCAACAGAGTTGGGAAATTGTGCACCTCAGAGACTGGGAACTGGAGCCTTAATAGAGCTAAATCTTAATTTTTGTTATCTCAGGTAATGAATGAATCTTAGTTATGTGAGGTGATCCTATGCATGGTTTGTGCAATTACAGAAAAGCATTGGCCGTTTTGTCCCAATTTTTCACAATAACTCATCATCTACTCATGGCCTTACACTTGTAAAGGTGATTTAAACCCACCCTTTCCTTGGGGATAACTCATGCCAGGGGAGGTGAAGAGTCATACAGAGTCATATTTGGAAACCCAGTGTTTTAAGTTGTGTCTGTATCTTTATTCTTGTACAAGAAAAATAATTATCTAGGTAATACAACAGCAGTGGAGGCTAATGACTTGAAAATATGGAAAAATGATAACTGGGTTGCTTGGACAGTGAGACTCTTTGGGGCACATGAAAATTTACTGAGTATTTCTGTTCTATGCCTTTGGGCCATTATCAGATGCTATGATGATGACCATGGGCCTAACTTCAATAGTCCCAAGCTGACTATAATTTTAAAAGGTCAAATTGATGCATCTTTTGCCTTCTGTTCACAGTTTTTTGAAGTTCACATGTTCATATGCTTACAAATATGCAAGTTAGACAGACTAAATAATCTGTAAATAAATTACCTAGTAACATTTTACTGAATGTTCCTTGATTCAGTTCCAGAAACAAATTAATGTTATTCCAAGATTTGGTTTAATGTTCAGTTGTTGAACTAGTGACTCTCTCCCCCTTATATAATCAGGTTTTTTTGCATGTTTTCTTTAACAGCCTAGGAAAGGAATTAGAAAAATACTTGAGGTACTCAAGGATGTTTTGTGATTTTATTTTCAGCTGGATGCTCAGCTAATTCTGAATATTTCAGTAAAAAAAATTACCAGAAATATTTCTCCTTTATATGGATGAAAATCCTCCTACATGTCTAATTCATTAGTAGTTTTGTTTCAAAATGGGCTATATCAACTGGAAACCATGGTAACATCAGCTTCGTAGTACTCTAAAAGATTACTTGGAACTGGTGATTTAATATTTATTCTGTGGCAGTTATAAATCAGTCTTTTTGATCTGTTTTGATTGCAGAGGGCTGCTTTTTGGTAGCTGTTAACATCCTAAGGTTTTAGATGCAGTCATTCAGTTCCCTCCCCTGGCAGATGGATGTGGGGTACAGGCAGTGGGTGTGATGTGTGATGCTTGCATTGGATCTGCTGTTTGTGAACTTGCCATCACTGCCAAGTTCAGTCTTGTTCTCTCTGCAAAGCTTTGATTCTGATCTGTAAAAGGGCAGACCCAATTCAAGAATTAATTCTCTAAATTCTTAAGAAAGTAATGTTTTTGAAGTAATGTATGTAAAGCAAAATGGTTTGAGAAATCTTGATTGAAGTTTTGGATAAGCATGTGTTTGCATTGTTCTTTTTGGCAATAGAAATTGGTGAAAATTCTTACACTCTGTGAAAAAAGGTTACAAGGTAAATGTAAGCAAATGTTTTAAGTTTTGACTTGTTAAGTTTGCTCATTCCCCTGTTTTATTGGGATTTGTCTGGACTAACGTGTAGCTATCTATAGGCTGGATCATCCTGTTGGCTGTAGATGAAGCCTGTAGAAGTGGCCAGATTACATAGTAAAAGTTAGATGAGGTCAATCTCATGCCAGTTCTTTAAATAAAATAATGGAAAAGCTATAGCATTTCAGCAGGGACTCATGGTACATTATTATCATTATGTTATGACCATAGTTATTCCAACTTCTAAAATTACTTCTGAAATTACTGATAAATACTACACAGACTGTGATACAAACACTTATCTTTTCTTTTTTCTTCTTTTTTTCTTTCTTCCTTTCCCTGTATTCCTTTCTTCATCTCCAGGATGCAGCATCTCTTGGGTCTCAGAAGGGTGGAATAACAAAACAAGGATGGCTGTACAAAGGCAACATGAACAGTGCAATCAGTGTGACAATGAGAGTAAGTTTAAGAATATCTGACATATAACAAAAACCTGAGCACTGATATTCAATATCCCTGGGCCTTGGAGAGGTGAATCTGTGGTTAAGTTCTAAAAAAAATCAGATGAAGAGAAAGAGGGAAGCTTGTATGTACTTCATATATCTGAAACCTTGCTTTTATTTTATGTAAATCAGAAAAAAAAGCCATGAAAAATCTAATATGTGGGAGGAGTAAAATTTTCCTAACTGTACCCTTGTGTGATTTTAGTGGAAAAGGACTGTGTAATATTGATGGGAGTTTATTTGTTTGTATTTTATATAAAACTATAATTTTTAATATGCCTCATGTATATTATAGAGTCAATTTTAAATACCTTTCAATAGGTCAGAAATAGTCAAATGATATAGTACAATCCTGCTGCAGATATCATAACTTAATTTTTTTTAAATTAATGGTTTCTGTTTTCTTTTCTGCAGATACTGATTATGTTATCTATAAATAAAAACTTTTTTCCTCTTACCTACTATTTAAATAGCACTTTTGGGTATATAATGTGAAGCTAATTGATACTTGTGTTGTCACTGTTCTTCCCTCCTTTCTTTTCACTAGTCATTTAAAAGAAGATTTTTCCACTTAATCCAGCTTGGTGATGGATCCTATAATCTCAATTTCTACAAAGATGAAAAAATATCAAAAGAACCTAAGGGATCAATATTTCTAGATTCATGCATGGGAGTGGTTCAGGTAATTATAATTATTCTGCCTGTTTGCCCATTAATTTGATATTTATTAGTAAGTGAAATTTATTTAAAATATAGATTAGTGTTGTTGAATGTAGATAAGTACCTATTATGCAGAGAAACAAGTAGACAGGCTTCATCTTGCCAAAGCAGTGAACAAGATTTCAAAGGGCAGGAGACTGAATTTTTGAAATCTTTCTGAAAAGAACATAAATTACTGGTTGATGTTAAGTATTTAGCAAACCAAATTCAAAGGCAAATGCACAAAGAACCCCAAAGTTGGCAAAGTAATGACAGCATAAAATTGAAGTTTATTTCAGTTAGATTTTGTGCCTGCATGAGCTGTAAAATGTTTTTCATAGCTTCTTGTGTGGGATTTTTGTTGCAGGAGTTGTATTGAATTCAAACACCCTTCCAGATGCTTTCATTTGACCTTTCTAATGTTACTTTTTTGTGCTTTTCTTTATTTTGAAAAGTTAAGGGCTTTGGTAAAATGTTTGTCAGTAGCAAGTGCCAAAGAAAAGATTGTTTTTCATTTTTTTTGTGATTCTGCTATGTATTTATAGTACAGCATGTAACTGTTCTGTTAGGCACAGCATACCTGGAAAAACCCCATGGGTCTTAGGTTTTTTTTTAACTTGTAGAATAAATAAAGAAATAGGCAAAGTTTAATAAAAATGTATTGGTTAAATAATATTTTTGTAACATAAAGTTGTTTGGAGATTTACACAAAGAGATAAAACAGCTTTACAGACGATTTTTGCCCCCCAAATATTGTAATATTGTCTTTTGGATACACATTTAATAGGTAACTTCTATTAAAATCTTATAACTGTAATAAATTTTATCATATTGCAAGTTATATATATATAATTTTACAGGAATTATTTTGCCTTAGAGATATAATTCTGGCCAATTCCACTGAAGTGAATTTAATTTGTGTTTTTAAAACAAGCCAACAAACACAAAAGTGGTTCCTAAACACAGCTGTAGTCTCATCAATAAATACAAATACTGATGGAAGGTGCAAAGAGGAGAGAGCCAGGCTCTGCCCAGTGCTGCCCAGTGACAGGGCTGGAGGCAACAGGCACAACCTGAAACACAGGAGGATCCCTCTGAACATCAGGGGACAGTTTTTCACTGTGGGGGTGACTGAGCACTGGCACAGGTTGCCCAGAGAGGTTTGGAGTCTCCATCCTTGGAGATGTTCAAAAGCTCCCTGGCCACGATGCTGTGCTAAATGGCTCTAATTGACTGTGCTTGAGGAGGGAGTGTTGGATGAAATGACGACCAGAGGCCCCTTCTAACCTCTAACTCTTCTCTCATTTGGGATTTAAAACCTGAAAATCTCTTTTCCTCACACATACTTTCATACTGTTCCATACTTTCTGTTCCGGCAGTTCAATCCAATTAACCTCAAGTTTCCTCAGACTCTGCCAGAAGCTTGCTTTTTAAAACAAACAATGCTGTAGGGCTGATACAGTCATCTCTAAGTAAAACTGTACTTTGGATGCTTTAAAATTTATACTTGGCTATGTCTCTTAATGCTGTACTGTATTGTACAGTACCCTCAGTGATCAGCTTGGTACCTGCTCTTCAAAACTGCGTGTAAAAATTTGAGACTAGTTATGAATTAACATCATGTGTAAAATCAAAACCAGTTAATGCTCACTTCCAAGAAGCCAAGTAGTTATTCAGTGGCTAGAATAAAAGGGTTTGGAAATAACTCTTTTCTTCACTTGAATTTTTGGTGGGGAGCAAGTAAATGCTGATTTAAACTATCAAATATTGTCCCAATTCCAGACATGTAGTTTTATTGTCTTATATTATGTCCTGTATCCTTTCTGGCTGACCTTATTGTTTTACTGTTCCTTACTGTTGGTGTTGAATTAGCATTTAAAAACTCATATGGGAAGAAAGTGGTATCTACACAGTAGAAATTGCACTTCCATTTAACAGAAGAGGAAAACAAAGGAAAAAATGTGTAAGGATCCCAGCCATCTTACTTTGAAGTAGTCTGACATGGAATTCATAGAAATGGTTTTTCTTAGGTAGTTATGCTTACAAGATTTTGTTCTTGGAATGAAACTACTTCTTTCAGAGTCAGTCTTTTCAGTGAGGAGAGATTAGTTCCTACTGCATGGCTATAACACTCCCCTGGTCTGAGTTCATTCAGTGCATTTGCTTACTTATTATTTCAAAGACGGTAGATGCCTGAGAGAAAAATACTGACTTCACTTACAGACATGAAGTTAGACCAGAATATGCTGCTTCATCAGAACGTGTTTTAAGAGGAATGCTAAATTTGTGCAATAGTGGGGTTTTTATTTGGTTGGCGTATTTGGTTTGGGTGGATTTCTCTTTTTCCCCAAACTTAAATAATGAGACTGAAATTCCCATAATTCTGTTTGGTGTTTTCAGACTTGGTTTTGGTATTGTTTTGTTGGGTTTTTTGATTTAATACTAAATTATATAGAGACTTTTCTGATTATAGATGTGGAGCATCTATTCACACATTCAGCCATATGTGTAGGTATAGTTGATCTAATTCAGTGTTTTGTGAAATCTGAGATCTGTGACATCTGTCACATGCCTCTGTCAAGGCTTTATACTGTGACACATACAGGTTTACTTTTCTCAGGATTTTCCATTTATTTCAGCACTGACTTCAGCTGGTAGGATTGCCTTAGGTCTGTCTGAAGTCCACACTTTTGTTTGTATGCTTGACAGAAACTCAGCTTTGGTAGAAAGTTGACTGTTTTGTCAACAAGTAGTTAATTGAAGAATCACAGATACAATGAAACTAATATGTAATTTGGCATTTAATTTAACTTAAACAAAAAATCCCCCAACCATTAAGTCTGCCTTACTGTTAATTTTAATGTTTATTTAATGCATTATCAATTTGTAAAACTAAATTGTTGATAATATGGAATTTTCATTTAAGACTTTTGAATTCATTCCCAGAAACATGAGTCAGGCTAAGTAGCATTTGAAACCCTGGTTTAAATTGTGCAGAAAAGGATGACAGAAATGGTTGAGGAAGAAAAAGAGGAACTGATTCACAATTTTATGTATATCTATATGACTAACAATATTGGGGCATTTGAGGTTGCTGTTGGTTATAATTTTACCTCCAGTGTAAAAGCCCAGTCTGACAACAGTTGTCACTCAAATATAATAGCATTTCATGCTTTTTGTTTTCTTTTTTTTTTTTCAGTAGACCTTAGTTAGCTTCATTTCTAGGTGATCTGAGTACATAAAGATTTGAAAATGGGATCTTTTGGGTTTTTATAAAATGATTGCAAGCAGAATGATGACTGGAAACTGGAATACAGGCTGTTCTCTTTCCTACTTGCACTTGTTGCAGTGCTGTGAATAACTTCAAAAGGTCAAATGTCAGAGAGCAAAAAGTGTCATTATGACACATTTTTTCAAAATACCAAGCTGTATTTTTGTATAGAATATCTGAAATATGTGTAACTTCCTCTGATAGTGGTTAGACAGTATGTCAAGTGCTACACAGGTCTTTTATTTTCTTATAGAACAATAAGGTCAGACGTTTCGCATTTGAGCTCAAGATGCAAGACAAGAGTAGTTTCCTTTTAGCTGCAGACAGTGAACTTGAAATGGAAGAGTGGATAAACACTCTGAACAAAATCCTTCAGCTTAACTTTGAGGCTGCAATGCAAGAAAAAAGAAATGGCGAGTCCCATGAAGGTAAGCAGGGTTTGCAGCAAGGCTGATGTTATGTGACCATGTCTTCTTACCTGCATTTTGGAATGAAGGGCTTTCATGTGGCTAAATTTTTTTGTTGTTGTTGTTGTTTTCTTTGGTCATAAAAATTACAGGCCTTTTCACTGTCCACTTCAACTGATGAGCATTTTAACCTTTTGGGCATTAAAACAGTACTGTTCTGTATTGATTCCAGTGGAGTCAAGTCCACAAAATAATTATGAGATTGATTAGGCCTAGAAAAGTAGAACCCACAATGTAGAATCAGGACTGAGGCAGTTTAAGGAAGAAAAGAAACTTAGGATGGACTTGTTTTGGAATGTGTAAAATGCTGCTGAAAATGAAATAATCTGTTCTGTGGTCACTGTAGGTAGAAATGGTGGTTACAATATGGGGCTTAAATTTAAATTTAATTCCCTTGACCACAAATATTTCCTGCAAGTATTGAAATAGACTGCTTGGGTGTAGAATCCTTTCTGTTGGAGCCCTTTAAGAATAGGTCAGGCAGGTATCTGTAAGGAATGCAGTGTATGTCACCAGTATCTCAGTGACAAAAGGATAATCTAGATGTCCTCTCATTCACTTTTCCTCTTGAGGGTGGATGGGGAGGGAAACTGGTGTGAACTCTACTGTATGCATATCCAAAAGAACCTGGAGGATATTATAGAAGGTTGTTTTTTTAGAGATAGTTCAAAGTACCAAAAGGGATCATTAGAGTTTAAAATGAGATATCACAGTCTTCAAAGACTGTCAGAATTTAGTGTGATGTTTGCAACAAAAACAGATCTGAAAAGGAGAAGCATCTAGCTCTGGGAAAGACATTTTAGTCTGTGGTCCTTAGTTGACCTTAGCACTGCAAGATGTTTATAGCTAACTGAATGGCTGCTTTGTAAATCCAGTAACTGTTGCTGAGTAGAGCTGGGAACCTAATGAACAGAGGGAACTTGTTTTGAAATCAAGTTACAATGCATTGTGGAAAGAGTAATGCAAGTTTGTGCACTGAGCATCTGTTTGCCTCATGCAGATATTAAAATTAAAGATGTCTTCTGGTAAGATTAGAAATAACTGCTACTTTAATGATTTTTGTAACTAGTTACATCTTTCAAGAATCACTGCATCAAAATGATGCAGTTGTCCACAACCTATTATGTTAATGGTTGTCATTTTTGAGGGGGTAGGAGATTAAAAAAGATTAGATTCTTTTGCTATGGAGTTTTGTCAGCACATTTGAATTTTTATATTTATTTTAAAATGAGTTTTATAATTTCAGATGATGAACAAAGCAAACTGGAAAGCTCATCAAGTAGTTTTGATAACTACTATCCTGAAATTGCCAAGGTAATATATATTGTAAATGTCAACTTGGGATATAAAGTATTAAACCTAAGTTAACCACATGAACTTTCAGTAAAGGTAAGGCATTGGCTTGTAGCTTGTGGTGCTTGGAAAGCTTAGGAGCTCTTTTATGAGGTGTGGTTTTTGAGCTTCATTATTTTCTGCTTTTGGAAGGAAATGAGATATTGTCTTGAAGTTTCCTATATAAATCTTAATATGCTGTTTAAATTCAGCATGTCTTATTTTATTAATTCATTATATTTTGTGTTGGTTTATTGCATTCAGGTAAGTGTTAACGTGTTTCTATAGAAATCTAGTTATACTAAAGTCAAGTTTTATTTTTAGACTTCAAAATCCAGGGCAGCTGAATAGCAGTGATGAAGTGAATGTATTTTAAGATGTTTGTGTTTATAATGAACTGGCAGGTTAATGGATGTTTCCTGTGTCGCCATGGTTCTTGCTTTCCAATTTTTTTCTTAGTGAAGTGTGATATAAACAACCATGAAATAAAATGGAACCAAATAGAAAATAACAGTAACTCTTCCTCAGCCCATTTGCAGACTTTCAGTTAAATCAGTGAATTCTGTGTTGCAGTTGGCTTTGTGAATTTTGTAAAGGAGAAATTTTTGTTAAGTCACCCAAGAACTTAAACTGGTGACCTTTTTTATTGAAGCTGCAGAATCCAAACTCCTTCCTGTGACTTCCTTACTCTTTTGATTGTCTTCTGTGTGGTACAGCCTGGAGTATTGAAACCTTTCTGCTTGACCATTCTCTGGAATGCTCTCCCTTATTTTCCTGAGGATCTGTCTGACCTAGTAACTCCTCCTGAAAGTAGTGCAGCTTATGAGCTGAGAATAAGCAAACCAAATTCTATTTACTACAGTAGCTAAAACATATCAAAGGATCCAGTCAGAATACATTAACAAGCTTTTAGCACCCAAATTGGTTGGCTGACTTAATTCTTTCTGTTACTGCTTTGTAATCAATTCAGCACATGTACACAAAAAGCTGTTATGTGATAATCTAGCTCCAGCTATGGCTGTAATTGGAAGTTAATTTGGATTGTGGAGCATATAATCAAAGCTTCCTAGGAATGGCTGTAAGCATCAAATAGCATATTTGCGTGAGGCCATGAAAATTTGTTTCAGAAATAAATACAAAATTAGATGCTCTTATTCTGTGGAAGATTTTTCTTTCTTCCCAGTCAGTTATTATAATGCTTATGGTCCTTATTCCTTACAGAGGGGACTTTACTTCAGGGCTGCATATAGTTTTTGTACTCCAGCTGCCACTTCATGTTTCCATAACTTTTGGATCAGAAGCATGCAGCTCTTAAAGCTCATTATTTGCTAGAATATTATTTTTGCTCAGCTCTTCAAGCACTGGCATGTTTTATTATTATTATTTATTCCATTGTTATAACCATTTACATTTCTGTTTCCTTCAAAAATTTTTTTTGAAGGAAAATGAGGTGAATTTCCCCTTCCAATTCACTTTTCCTAAACATTGCCTTTCAAAATAATTTCCTCTAATGTATTTTCGTAGCCCTTTTTTTCCTGAGGAAAATTACAGGGAAAACTCTGCCCATTTTCATTACTCTTTGTGTCTTAACTTGATTGCTTTAGATAAATGGTGTGTGTTTGGAGGATTTTTCTGTCCTCTATTCTTTCTTGCCTTGTCTTTTCAGCTGTTGTTTGGATTTGGTTCTTTTTTCCCCAGTGGAAGCCTTGCAGGGCATTGGGCTTTCTTTGAGAAGAGTTATAGTTGCTCTATTATTGTTGTTAGTTCTAGGAGGAAAATTTCACAATAGCTGACCTCATATCCTTATGAGGAGAGAGAAATTCCTTCAGGGGTGATTGTAGAGCACCTGACAGTGGGGGAAAAAACAGATTTCCTAGGAAAGGTTTAACCCTTGTGAGTACATATATCTCCAAGCCTTCATTTTTCTATCAATAGCTGTTAGTTCATGACATAAACTAAATAAGATGGTACTTTGCACTTTAGTGCTTAGATGCACACACATCTGTCTCAATCTGTCTTTCCTACCTATTTCATGTTCCATTAATCTGTAATTTAACTACCAGGAGTGAATGAAGGGGTTTTGTAGTAGATTTTTTTTGTGGTTGGTTGGGGTTGTTTGTTTTTGTTGCATTTATTAATCTTAAAATAAATTAGGCCTCTGAAGTAGCTGTGACTGTCATGATCAGTGTGCCCAAGCACCTCCTTAACCATTATTGGTCCCAGAATACCTTGAGGTGGGAAAATACTGTCTCAGTTTTACAGATGAGGCAATAAAATCACAGAGCCACTGATGTGCTGTAGACAGGGTTCATGGTAACAGGTTCCAGGTTCATGCATTTTCAGTTCTTGAGTTCTGACAGCTGCCCCTGTTCTGTCAGTCAAACATGCATATAATCATCTGGTCTTCCTGCACAAAACACTAAAGGATCTAAAACTATTCAAGATGCTTTAGCTGAAGCAATTTCTGTCTGGCTCCTATGGCTGGGCAATCTTCCTCCTCAGTTCTTGCCACTAAATTTTACCTTTGCAAAACATGCACACAACTTTCTTGCCATCCTTAAATTATTTCACATTTCCTGTATTTTCCAATTATACCAGTTGTTCAACAAGCTAATTCTGACAGTACTGTGCTGGTATTGAGTATCTGGGTCGTCTCTTTCACAGCAACTCTCCTCTTTTCTTCTTTTTGTGTTAAAGTTAGAAAAGTAAAGTAAATGAAAACCATTGGAACATTTATATTCAAAATAGCACCTCAGAATTTTCTCTTCTGTTATACATTCTCTAAACCAAATTATTTTTTTAAATTCCTGTTATCAACCTAAAAATATGGTTATGAGCTCTTAGAGATTGTTCTTTTGTTTTCTTTTTTTTTTTTTTTCTTTCTCTTGAGACATAGTAGAAGTTGCTTCAGTCTCCAGCAAAGCAGATGTAGACAGTAGATCACTTCCTGCTGATGGTCAGTGATGAGCATTTTGGGTTGTAATTTCTTTTAACCCATACAGGCTGATCCAAAAAGAACACCTGCCTGTAATGTAATATTTTGTATCCTCGTTTAGCCAGCTGCTACTTTAAGAATGGCATTTCTCCTGCATGGGTAATTTTAGCACATGTTCATTTGTCCTATCCTGTGACTTTAAAAATCATAGAATGCTCTTTAAATAATTCCTTTTTCAAACAAAGGTAACCTATGTACACAGTCTTCACATTCTATTTTGTTCCATTTCACTTTTGTTTTACTGTTAAAAGATAGTATCTATAGTATAGTATTTATAGTATCTATAAATCCCAGTGAACTCTGCAAGGTAACTTTTAAATGTGAGGGGTTTATCTTTTGGAAGTTTTTGGTTTTTCTCCAGCTGCCCACAGGAAAACCACTTCTTTGGCTGTAGAGTTCAAGAAAAGTTAAAAAAAAGCAACCAACAAAAAGAAAAAAAGAAAGAAAACTATGATGGTGTTTCTTAATTTAGGTGATCTGTTGTTTCCTCAGCAATCTTACGGTCTCAGGATAACTCTGAGCTTTAACCTGTAGTCATAGTATGTGTTTTTATTTAAATAAAATAGGATTATGGAGGTTATTGTTTGAGGAGGTAGATATATAAATTACACTGAAGTGTACTTCTCACGAGCATGGAAGGTTATATGTTGCTGATGTAAGGTTTTGTACTTCTAGGGCTGGAAAAAAGCATTAGGAGAAGAGACTCTCACTTTGTGCTTAGTCATGTTTGATCAATGTAGGTACAAAGCTCAGCAAGGGAGAAATGAATGCATGAATCAAAAATGTGTGGAGCCTTGAACATCACAGAAAAAAGCATGAAATTAAAGCTCACTTTAATGGTGTGATATCAAGACCTTTTTTCTTGTTTTGAACAGAGTACCAGAGAAGCAGAAATCAAGCTGAAAACTGAAAGCAGAGTTAAACTTTTTGCCTTGGATCCAGATGCACAGGTGAGACTTCTTACAAGGAAGCAAGGGTATTTTATGTTGATCCTTTTGAGATGAAAGCAAACTTACCTTAATATTTATTTTCTTTTTTATAGAAACTTGACTTTTCTAGTATTGAACCAGAAGTGAAGCCATTTGAAGAAAAATTTGGAAAAAAAATTCTTGTAAGGTGTAATGATTTATCTTTTAATTTGCAAAGCTGCGTTGCAGAAAATGAAGAAGGACCAACAACAAATGTAAATAATTAATCTAATTACTTTCTGTTAATTTGGAAATAAATGTCCCAATGTTTAGTTGGCACTACACATTATCCTTAATGGCAGCGATTCCTTGTTGTGATTGAGAAATGTATATTATGGAGATTTTTGCTCTTTGAAGGCCTATATACTACATAACTTATACTACAGTAACTTTGCTGCTAATATTTTTGTTGGGTGGTGGAGAGACAATCTTTTCTTTCAATGTCTTTTGCATGTTGTCAGTAATACCTAGGGTGATGACCATATGTGTTCATGAAAATATTACTTATCTTTTTTTCATACACATTTTTACAGTGATCTAGATGCCAGCACTGTCACTTGATTCTTTCTCTTTTTCTCTTTTTTTTTTTTTTTTTTTTTTTTAATGTCTAGGTAGAGCCTTTCTTTGTCACACTGTCACTTTTTGATATTAAAAACAACAGGAAGATTTCAGCAGATTTTCATGTTGATTTGAACCACGCCTCAGTAAGGCACATGCTGTCCAGTGCATCTCAACAAATGATGAATGGCAGTGGTGACAGCTTACACAGAATTCAGGACATTCATGAAACTGTCTTGCAATATCCAAAGCAGGTAAGAGCTAGGAACCTGAACTAGTAGGATTTTGGATGCAAGTTTGCTGCACAATTTCATTTGCTTTCTATTATGTGATGTAAAATTTGCAGTTTCCTTCTTTATTTCTCTCTTGTTTTATCTCTAGGGAATATTCTCAGTCACATGTCCTCATACTGACATTTTCCTTGTGGCTAGAATAGAAAAGGTGCTACAGGGAAGTATTGCACATTGTGCTGAGCCATACATGAAAAGTTCAGATTCATCAAAGGTATGTTATTTTCTTCTGTGGAGTGAAAAAAATGCTGAGGCAAATCAGATTGATTTCAAATTAATAGCTATAAATCAAAATCTTAGTTGTTTTATAGTAAATTCACGTAAGTGGATAATTTGATTTAGTAAGTTGTAGTTATTTCAAGTAACTATTATTACATTCTAGATAAAGGAACATTTTATTGGAAACATTCATTTCACTTTTTATAATTATGACAATGTAATTTTTAGAATGCCTTTAAGTAAACTGTTTTGACAAAAGAATATTGGACTTCAGTGTGAAAGTTGAGTTGAAAATTACTGAACAGTGAAATGTTAAATATAGATCATAACTGTATGTCTCTCTTAGTTAATGCATCTTACTTAGTGTAACACAGTTGATGTTTTGTTTGTCTTACTTTTTGGTGACAACAGTTTACTGTAACTTTATCTGCACTCCTGCTGTTTTTTTTTCTCCAGAACCATTGAGATCATTAAGCTTCTGGTATTATGTATAAAATTCTTTGCAGATTTGATAGAACCTCTGGAATCACTTCTGGAAATTATCCATTGGAATATCTTAAGTTTCCAAGAATCTAGGATGGCATAACATTTTGATGTTCTCTGAAACAAAGCTACGAATGTTTTGTTAGTTGCTACTTCTTGTTTGTCAGTGAAGGAGCAGAGGTTCAATGTTTTTGATTTACAGTTATCCTTAAATAGCCAGACCAGCAAACAAGAAAAAAGTGTTTTTGTAAGCAGTGTCAGCTACTGTTGACATTCTGCCTGTTTTCAGCTAAGAAGAAACAGTTAACTTTCAGTCTCTGCAGGGCAACAGTGTTCTTTCCTACAAATTTGATGCTGGCTGAGCTGCATGTAAAAAACCATGTATTTTTCACTTGGTCTTAATATAGATCAGCCTACTGATTTGTTTTTCCAGGAATGTGTGAGGTTTTTTTTTTTCCCCCAGCTATTGTTGGAAAACAGCAGCTTTGTATTTTAGGAGTCTGGTTTTGATGTTGACTGTTTCTGAGTTAAAATAAAACCTGAACTGAGTGTAGGTGATTTTGGTGTCCTTGTGCCTGAGCCATGTGGGGAGGTTAAAAAAGCCCAGGTGTTCCCATAATGGATGCTGAGTTCTGGACTTGTAGTTGCCCTGTATGATGGGATTGGACAATGGAAATGCTTGTGGTTATATTAACTTATGCTTTCTAGCATTCAATCACTTATAATTTTATATAAATGAATGCTTAGTTTGAATTTTTCTTCTGTTCTTGTTCTTAGGGACTACACTGTATTAATCTGAAACAAATTAGAACAGTACCAGCTACATAGGCCTCCATGCAGGTCAATGTAGGGAGAGAGTTCCACTTCCCTGCAAAATTACTAGTCTGGACAAGAAAAAGGGAAAATGGAAGCAGCAAATTCTACAGCCAAAAAAAAAAAAAATCACATTTTCTCCCCTTTAATGTTGAATACAGTGATTTAATGATCATTGCTTACTAAGGTTTTATGCTTCCGAGTGCTATTTCCCCTTTTTTTACAGGAAAGGGTAATGAAGAGTTCTCTCAAACACACTAATAGAATCAACTCTTTATAATATCAACAGCACAGATCAGGGATAATATTCAGGAAGTTTTAGTCTGTCCTTGGTTTTGCTCTGTATGAACAGATGGGAAAAGCTGATTTCTAGAAAAGAGAAGCCCAAGTGGTTCAGCTCAGTGTTGAACATCTCAAACCAGTGGGTTTCTAGTTTCTGATGGTTGTATTTGTTGGTTCTGTATAATGGAGTTTTTTGTTCATTTAAAAGTTAACAAAATCAAGAATTTGAACTTTTAATGAGAACAATTTTGCAGTGTCCATACACAGGGTTGTCCATGTGATCTTCATACAACTCTTCCCCATAGTCTGTGTGGAAGAGACTTTGTAGTGGAAGATTTTGTAGTACAAGTCTTGCAGGATATTGTACTAATTCTGCAGGAATGTATTCTGTTACATAGGATGAGTGCTGGATATAGGTGGGAGAGCAAGCGAGAGGGGAAATGTTGGGGTTTTTTTGTTTTTTATTGGAGTTGGAGCTTTATTTTTAAAAAGTTTAATTTTGCTCTAGCTTTCAGTCTGTATTCTGTGTATAATAATGTTTCTCATGCTTAATTAATTATTTCTTATCAGAAATGTAGATGGGTCTGTGCTGTGAAATCAGCAGTCTGTGCTTAACCTGAAATGAATAGTTAAGAGGCATTATCAATTGTCTTTTCCTTCACATACTTTGCATTAATCTATAGTCTTCTCAAGAAGATTTTCTAATTCATATTTGTGTCAATATGTGTGTTTTTTTCTTGAGTACTAATGGTTCAGAAAAATGTAGCTTTTCAAATACGGCTATTTCTTTTGTCCCTTGTAGGTTGCACAGAAAGTTTTGAAGAATGCTAAGCAGGCATGCCAGAGATTAGGTCAATATAGAATGCCTTTTGCCTGGGCAGCTAGGTGAGGACAAATCTTGTCAATCTGTATTTTTTTCCTAACTTTTCTCTAACATCTTTTTGCATCTCCCTTCTTGTAAAACTGAATGTGCTATTTAAATGATTTCCTCCTTTGCTGTCAATTAACCCAAGATTTCCAACAACCTTGCACTTCAGCTCTGTAGTAGGAAAGGAGTTATAATCATACATGATTATTCAAACTGTAGATATTGCCAGCTATTTTCTGTTGTCAGTATTTTTACATTATTAAGGATGAAATGGCTCACAGTTATTTGTTAGACTGAGCTATTTATATGTTAAACTCACCTACAATGAGTAAAATATTAAATGCTTAATGAATTTTAATGAAGGATGGTACAGGATATTCTGATCAGTAATAAAAAAAATTCCTGAAATGAATTTCAACACTTTCATAAACTCAGCTAAAAGCAGGATTTTTACTTTCAGGACATTATTTAAAGATGCCTCAGGAACCCTGGACAAAAATGCAAGATTTTCTGCTCTCTTCAGACAAGACAGTAATAAACTCTCAAATGAAGACATGTTGAAATTGTTAGCAGATTTCAGGAAGTAAGTCTGATTTTCCCACTTGAAAAAACAGAAGCAAACCAACCTAAAACCCCTCACTCCTAGCCCCCACAATATTGTGTTATGGTCTTGAACTAGAGCATCTAATATTTTGATCTATGTATTTTTACATGTCTTTCACATCAAATATAGAATTTGTATAAATATAATTAAGGCCTTCAAACAAGCTACAGATCTGTCTTTTAGATGGTTTGGGGGCTATAAGCAGGACTGAAGTATAATCCCACATGTAACATGCTGTCATATCCTGAAGTATCTCTGTGCTGGGAGTTATGTTTGCACAATATGCTCATCTGTTTCTCAAAGGAAATCAAGTATGAGCAGAAATCATCTGTTCCCTGACCTTGGACAGGGGATGCTGGCTCTCAGGGAAAGGGATTCAAGCAAGTCTCCAGTCCACCTTCCTTGGGAATGTGTGTGTCTCAGGATACCTAAATAACAGAACATTTTTACCAAGTATACTTAAAAATTTTATTGATTTGTGTGCAAGGTTTATAAATATTAATTTGAACAATCACTAAGCCAAAATGGGCTACAGTTTCTTTCTACTTGTTTAGCAAATCTGATAAGGACATGAGGTTTGCAATAGATATTTTAGCTCGCTTTTAGCAAGTGGCTAAAAGTTTTGTTGAACTTCAGGTAGCAGTGGACTATACTGGTACTCTGTTGGAACTTTAGTTGTTGAGAATTTTAGATTTTTTGTGTTGTTAAGTACTGATTTTTAAGAGACTATTATATTTAACTTGAGATTGTAGAGAAATTTTTTTAAATTAAATAGTAGAACTGAGATTATAAGTATGTAGTTTAATTAAAAGTGTGTGATATTACAACAGACAATAATAGTACTGCTTACCATACTGGTAATTCCTGGAATTGAAACAGAGAGTAAATTAGCCTGCCACACTACTCTGTGAGTTAAGGGAGTGCTTTTGGTTACTTCAGCATCCTGTTTGTGGAACCATGTACAGTATTTCACAGGAAATACAGGAGGAAAGGACTTCTAATGTCTAAAGCATATCTATTGGAATTAGAATCCCAACTCCAACCAGAAGTTTGCTTCACAGCATGGGATTGCTTTTTGGGAAAATTTTGCATCCACTTGCCAAGAAATAATTTTTAAAAAATCATGCTGCTGACTGTCTTCACTAATAAAGGGTTCTGCATGGTTTTGGCATGGAAAATACTTGTACTTCATGTTTCTGAAGTAGCTACACCATAACATCTATACTTGGGTTTTGCAAGGTGAATTTGTTAGTCTGGAAAAAGGAGGAGATAGAAACTTGCTGATATCTCTTCCCCCACGTTTATCCTACTACCATGAACACTTATCACTGGCCACTGAGATTTAAAACTTACTTACAGACTTGGCTGCAAATGATAGTTGCCACGAGTTACTACATGGCAAAACTTGAATTTGAAAAGGTGTTTCATTTAAATTTAAAGAAAGAAAAAATCATGCTTTTCTGTGACCTTTGACACACTTGCGCCTTTTTTTTTCTTTTCCTGAGAGTTTAAAGGAAAAGAAAACTGTGCATCTAGGCAAAAAGGAAGACCAGATCAGTCATGCACCCTCAAACCACCTTTCCTCTCATATTCCTATTTCAGGATATTACTTTTGCCTCTGTTTCCTATTATCCTTTTTTACTGGCATCTGATTTGCATTTAGCCTGACTTTGAGAGGTTGTTTTTTTTCCCCTTCCTACAGACCTGAAAAGATGGCCAAACTTCCTGTTATTTTAGGAAATCTGGATGTTACAATTGACAATGTGTCACCAGATTTTCCAAGTAAGTATTAACAAACACTGTTAAATGGACATTCAGGCTTTTTCCTCTTCAGTTCTTTATTTGTTTTTTTCAATGTATTTTCAGATTACGTTAACTCATCATACATTCCCATGAAACAGTTTGAAAACAGCACCAAGACACTCACAGCATTTGAAATAGAGGAGTTTGTTCCTTGTATACCAAAATGCACTCAGCCTTTTACCATCTACAACAATCATCTTTATGTTTATCCAAAGCACTTAAAATATGACAGTCAAAAGTCTTTTGCAAAGGTGAGTAGAGGAAACCTGTACCACTTTCTTTCTCAGTTTAGTTAAGATTGTTTACATATTAAGTTCTGTGATGATCCCTATGATTAATTGCTTGGGTTTATGTTTTTAACTACTGCTTTAGGCTAGAAATATTGCAGTGTGTGTTGAGTTCAAGGATTCTGATGAAGAGGATTCTTTGCCTTTGAAGGTCAGTCTTTTCATTTTTGTGGCTGATAGAAGTAAATAGTGAGCAGTTAGCTAACTAACAGTAGTACTGGATTAATTGATCTAGTTTGGGGTGGTGGCTTGAGAGTAACTTCTGGATTGCTTGTTTCTGATAGAAGAGATTCTAAAGAGTCCTCAGAGCATTTCATGTCTTTAATATTTTTTTACTAGAATTCTAAGAATAAACTTGTTGCAAACAAGGGCAGCTTATACCTGCTCCCCAGTAAGTGAAAACACTAAAGATTTATTTCAACTGCAGAGCCAAACTCCATTTTTTGAGCTATCACAGTGTATAAAAGGTGCCTGGAAGACCAGAAGTAGAGAAATGTAGAGACATCCTGAAGTGAGATCACAGTCTCAGCTCTACTGCACAGCAGGCAGACTAAGCATCATGTAAAGAAACGAAGTTAAACACAAGTTAAAATATTTCAGATTCTGGGTGAGACATCCTAAGCTGAGAGTAAAAAAGGATCACAGTGTCTTATTGTTCTTTTTTTCCTTTTCTGTGTTCTTAGTGTATCTATGGTAGGCCTGGTGGACCAGTATTTACTAGAAGTGCATTTGCTGCTGTTCTGCATCACCATCAAAATCCAGAGTTCTATGATGAGGTAAGCTGCCTTTCTGAGGAAACTTTACCAGGTCAGCTACTATGTAAGTTTCAAAATGCAAGAAAATATTAGAGGATTGCAAAGTTCTCAGTTACATCAGGTCCCCTTTCTAAGGACTCTTTATGGTTTTGTATGTTTGATTTGTGGTCTAGCTTCAAATACCATAAAACCTGGAATTATTCTTTTAATGTAGAGCCAGTAACACATGTCAGTGCTCTGGCTGAAAACTTCTACTGAGATTTCTTTGCCTTTCAGATTAAAATAGAGCTCCCCACTCAGTTACATGAAAAGCACCATTTGTTGTTCACTTTCTACCATGTCAGCTGTGATAATTCAAGCAAAGGGAGTACAAAGAAGAAAGATGTTGTTGAAACACAAGGTTTGTACACTAATGCCTTACTTTAAGTAAGGGAAATTTTTTGAGTATGCTTATCTGGTAACCCATGATTTTTGTGATCTATATAATGCTTTCTAATTACATAGGACTGACTGAACATTTTAATAAAATATTTCTTCTAATTTAAATGTTTTAAATTTTGGTTTAGAGTGTCCATTGAATGTGCAGTGTTTTTTTTTTAAATGAATGACAATTACTTTGTGCTTTCAATGTTTTGTAGTTGTTTTAGTTCAAATCATTTGACCTTTACAGTAACATTTTCTATTTTATGAATTACATGCCAGAATTATTTGGTAAGACTTTTGTTGTAAGGGTGTATATGAAGTTTCATAATATTTAAAATTACTTGCCTTTCATGTTCTGTAGTTGGGTATTCTTGGCTTCCTTTGATAAAAGATGGAAGAGTGGTCACCAATGAGCAGCAAATCCCAGTGTCAGCAAATCTTCCCTCGGGCTACCTTAGTTATCAAGAAGTGGGTATTGGAAAGGTATGTTGTAGAAAATGGCTCTAATCTTAAAAAAGAACCCAAACATTGTGGAGAGAAAGATTGGTTGTAATTCCCCAGTCTGCTGATAAGATTTAAGTAATTTTCCAATAGAATTTATTTTATTTTATAGTTGAAATGGAATGCTTAGCAAAATTCAAAGTTAGTCCAACTTAGAGGATACAGAAAAACCCAAAGAGAGATGGGAGACAGAAAAAAATGTATTAGGACAGGTTGAGTCAAATTCTTGTAAAAGTCAGAAAGTTGTTACCTACTTACTTCTGTTGTTATTTAGCTGATACAATTAAGATATGCATATGTTTAATTTTCTGTAGTAATAATTAACTAGAAATTACAGTAATTTTTAAACATTTAAAATTATTTTGAGTTTATGAAGGTATGCAAATAATCTGAAGTCCTTTACTAAATTTTTTTTAGCATTTCATGCTGTCTCCTTTCAGTAAGTCCTTTATTCCTGAACAAGTCTTATTCTCACATCTTGATTTTTGTGATCTCTATACTTCACAAGTAAAATTTATGGTTGTATTTTTCAAAGCAGAAAGCTTGCATAATTGTAGTCATAAAAATCATACCAAGGAGGACACAAAATGAAAATGTGATAGGGAATTTGACAGTTTGAATGCAGAGACAAAATTGACTAATTTTGGAGGAAGAGACCTAAAATCAATAGCAAAAGGAGCAAAAGGTGCTGCTCTCCTCCTGTTTTACCAGCTGGTCTTTTTTAAACTCTGCTGTAAGCTTTCCAACCATTGTCTCCTTCACATCTTTCATCCTCTCACGTTGTAGGTGTATTCTTTATGCCTCTGCTGTTTGTCTCTGCTCATGCCTATGGGTAGAATATTAGGACCAGTATGACTAGTGGTAGATTAAGCAATAAAATCTCTCCCTAACTGGATATCAGGGTCAGCATTCTCAGCTCTTTGGAAATGGGATGAGAAGGAAGGGCTGACAGTGTCACTACCTGTCAGTGACATATGTTAAGTTTTAAACCTTGTGAATATCTGTGGAAATCCTTGTGTTATTTTTCTGAGAAAACGAGTAAATATTTCTCTCTAGTCAGAAGTTTCTTTGCAGAGTTGTAGGGAAAACACAAAATCTGTGACTTGCAGAAATCAATTTTGTTAGCCACCAAGGAAAATACTGTGGGACTTGTAAAGTACATTTTAATCTTCATAAATGCTTTTGGAAATATTGCCTGCATAATTTTGCTTTATTTATGACTTTATTCATTGCACACTGCATTTCTTCAACCTGTTTTTTTCTTTTGGAAAGAAGTGTTGTTAATGGTACTGTTACTTGTTTTATTTTAATATACTACTACATTATTTTACTTTTCCCCCTCGTGTATGTGTGCAGCATTCTGGTCCTGAAATTAAATGGGTAGATGGAGGCAAACAACTGCTGAAAATATCCACTCATCTGGTGTCAACTGTGTATACACAGGTGAGTTATAAAGCAAATTTAATTAGAGAATTTTTAGAAATTATATCTGTTCATAGTATGTATATACAATATATGGGAAGCTTCTTAAACTCAGTGCGCTCATCTCTTTTTTGTCTCATGGGCTTTTCTCATGGTCTGTTTCTTTTACATCAGATATGAAAAACAGATCTTAAATTGAAATTATTCAAACCATGAGCCTTTTGTCTCCTGTCATCCATTCCAGTCTGAATTTTCCAGTTAGATGAGAGGTCATAGTTGTCTAAAAGCTGTTTCCTGGCATGTCTGCAAAGCAATGAGTCTTGTTAGACCTTTTCATAGAAAACATATTATGATTGGTTTGGATAATTAAGTATGCTATTTTCTGTCAGTAGGAAGCAAATATAGGTAGCATTTTGTATAATGGGTATTCAAAAAACACTTGAAATTTTATTTTAAAAAATAAGACTTGATAAGTCTTCAGAATAGTACACTTCAGCTATTATTTTTGAAAATTGAATCTATGGACAAAGATATGTATTTATACATATAAATAATTTTAATGAATTATAGATTGTAATGTTGGATATTGTTTAACTTGTTGTTCTTTTTGTCTTTGACAGGACCAGCACCTGCATAATTTTTTTCAGTACTGTCAGAAAACAGAGTCTGGAGCTCGTGCACTAGGAACTGATCTTGTGAAATACCTTAAGGTATAAAATGGCAGTGGATAACAGATTGTGTAATTCATTTATGTTTTTGCAAAGCCTTGGAGCTTCAGACATTTTATAGGTCTCATTTTTCAGTGTGAGGATTAGTACTGTGACTATGACTCGTATTAATGGAATATGCTGTGAAAAAACCCACAAAGATACTTTCTTCCTTAAATAAATTTACAATTGCAATGTAAGAGGAAATCAAAACTAAATAATGAGACAGTATTGGTCAGAGTGGTAATTTCAAAACCCTAATGGCTTACTTTGTCAAAATAATCAAATTGAACTGTGTATGGAAATTGTGAGGAATCACAACTCTTGATATGTCTAAAATTTTGCTTAGAAGGTTGTCATTGTTGGGTCTTCAGTTCTCTTTTGGGATTAGATCACTAATGGTTTCCACTTTAATTTTTTCTGACAAAGATCACATAGGATGAAAGACCATTTTGTCTCCTGAATAGTGTGGATGTGCAGGCAAACAGTCAGAGACAAGACAGCTGCCTAACACCCAACACTAAATGGAAACATTTGACATTTGTTATCTGTGTGCACATTCAGCAAATGCATTCTTTTTTTTCAAATTCTCTTTAATTCCGGGGAATTTTCTGGCATAATACTTTGTAGGATGAACTTCATGCACTGCCTTTTCTGTTAGGGTGGTTATGTCTGTAGGATCTTTTGCATGGTGTGCAAAATGTGTTGCATCACATCTTTTTGTGATGGAAAGCGAAGGCATATCAGGAAGAATTTGTCATTAATAATCCAGTGTCTCCAATTTCCATTAAGTAGTTAGGGATTTTAGTTCATCCTCAGTTTTAACATGATTGCTAGTTTATTGTTTAGCAGTAACTAGTGTAATTAGTATTGCACTTAGCTCAGGCAAGAAACCTGCATGTTTTTGTAGAGCTTGTGTTTGCTAAATGTCTGCATTGGTGGATGAAATACCAAAATGTACCAATATCAGTCTCAGTGTGCTGTTGGGCACATGGATAGACTTTTCACTGAATCATTACCTAGAGTGCATTTCAATGGAAAAGTACAAATAAGTACTTCTAAAATGCTGTTAATAACACCTAATTTATATCCCTAATTTATTTTCCTGTAGAAAACATTTACTAAATATTTACATTGGAAAATATCCTTAATTACTTTCTATGCCATATTTTTGGTAGCAAGCACCAAATGGTGCAAGCAGCTTGTATTTTTAGAAAAAGACTTGCAATCATTTTTTTTGTTTCAGAATTTGTGATTTAAATGCTGTTGATTCACAGGAGTGACAGTATTGCCACTCTCTTTTAGAGCCTTCATGCTATGGAAGGCCATGTGATGATAGCTTTCCTGCCAACTGTTCTAAACCAGTTGTTCAGAGTTCTCACCAGAGCAACTCAAGAGGAAGTTGCAGTCAACGTGACAAGGTAAAGAATTTTAAGTGGTTCATAGTGTCGACATGATGACTGGGTTATCACATAAATCTGTAATTGAGTGGCATTTTTGCTGTTGCAATCAGAGCTTTCTTTATAGGTTTACTTGTTTTCTGACTTCTGTTTAGGGTTATTATCCATATTGTTGCTCAGTGTCATGAAGAAGGTTTGGATAGCTACCTGAGATCTTATGTGAAGGTAGGTAAAAGTAAATTGAATATTTCCTTTTTTTTATTTCCCTAATAAAGAATATATTTAAATTCAGTTGCATCTATTTCATTTCAATTCTTTTGCATTATGCCATAATTTTGTATTTAATTCTGTTTTTCCTCCCCAAGTATGCATATAAAGCAGAACCCTATGTTGCTTCTGAATATAAGACAGTACATGAAGAGCTGACAAAGTCAATGACAACAATTTTAAAGCCATCTGCTGACTTTCTTACAAGCAACAAACTGCTTAAGGTATGTGTTGAACTGTACTTTTTACTGTATGTTCTTACCTGGTCATAACTGAAGAACAGGAACTAAGTGTACTGAAATAGTTGTTGAACAGATGTGGCAATCTTACTGAATTTTTCTTTCCTCTGCAGTATTCATGGTTTTTCTTTGAAGTTCTGATAAAGTCAATGGCTCAACATTTGATAGAAAACTCTAAAGTGAAGGTATGTCAACTTTTGCAAAAAAAATATTCTAAGGAAGATCTGTATGGTCTCTTCTTTCTCCAATCACATGTTTTTTATTGCATATTAGAAAGAAGGGGAGAGAAAGAGGCAGCAGGAGAGATCAGTTTAAATATTAGATAGAAAAAACTAGAGGGCTGGATTCAACATGAATATAAAAGAATAGAAACCCTTAAAATCCATAGAGTAGAGCAGTCTGTGTAAATCATCAGACTTTCTATTAGGAATTTGTAATTCTTGTGGTACGAAGAAGTTGGGAGCAGTAGATAACACTTTGATGTAAGCAGTATCCAAAAAAATGTGGGCTTTTTCCTGAGCAGTACTGTAGCTGTGATATTAAATGATCCTGAGAACAGTGAGTCATGAAATGTACAGTCTTCTGGATGTAGTAAGAAGTGTCAATATTTAATTTTGTGTTGTTATTTCCTATGCTGGAAGGAGAATGCTAAAACTTCAGAAATGCATTTTTCTACAAGCTTAGCCTGTGAGCAGTGTTTTTTACATTGGTGACAACTTTTTAGTGTGTTTACTTCTGGATTGAAACAAGTCTTGAAAGTTTCAAGTATACAACATAGTTTCATCTGAATAACATAATAGGTTGTTATAGTGATATTGTTATCACTATTTTCACTGTGTATTTAGAGTATAACCGGAAGTCTGAAGTACATGAGGGAAAAATAATTGTACAATGATCAGGCAAAAAGCTTTATAGTGCTACACTTAATACTCTGTGGTATCATCGGTAAAGTTTGAGTCCCAGTTCAAGGAGCCTCATTGTCACCTTCTCTGTAATGTGAATGAGAGAAGAGAAGAACTTAACTGCAGTTTGCAATTATTCTGACCCCTGAACATTGCTTCTTGATTTACAAGCCCCTTAAATATAAATTATTTAGCTAGATTTTTTCTGCCTTACTAGATAATGTAATAAATGCAACATATACTCGGATGTTTCCTGCTTATGATATCTGATAAAAAGATGCATTCTATGTGCAGCAAAATTATTTCTATAACAAGGATTATGTTTCATTACTGTCCAACAAAGACAGAGCTACTAGGGTGTTGTAGGACACTGGCATACCCACCAACACAATCTTTAGTTCTTATTTGTTACTTCTTGCATGAGTACTGTTTATATTGATAAAGGGATCTTTTTCAGCCTTAGTGTCTATTTTAATTTTTTTTAAACTAAAGTTGGAGGTTTTGGACCACAATTCCAACACAAAAGAAGCAAGTTATGTAATCATTGATTTATGCAGGGTCTTGACAATGACTTGTTCTGTTTAGGAATGTTAGGAATTAGCTGCACTTAAAGTAGCTCAAAAAACTATTTAAATAAAAGTACTTGGACATGGATATTTTGATTTCAGTTTTCAAAAAGAAAAGAGATCATGACCCTGCAAATGAAACAATTTCTGTCAATGTCATCAGCCTCACACCACATGTCATTTAGTCTCTTCACACAAAAGAGAGAATCTTTAGTAAAGGTTGTAAGATGTAGAGAAGTAAAAGAGACTGTGCAGTGCCAAAAAGCTGAAGAGCACTTACTGACCAATATTTGTCAGAGTGTACAAAGTCATTGATGAAGATAATATAGGTGGTGAGTGGAAAGAAAGAAATTATGAATGAAGAGGAGATCTTTTAAGCTAATTGGCAAACTACCAAAATGTAAGAGAAAGGAGTTCTGATTGTGGAAACTTAAAAACACAGAGAGTAAGGTTCTGATGCCTGGAGAGCTGAGATTTTGAAGTTGCTGAGGAGTAAGAGGAAGGAAGGGAGAAAGGGAGGAAGGATGGATGGATGGATGGATGGATGGATGGATGGATGGATGGATGGATGGATGGATGGATGACAATTTCCTCAATGGTGAAAGCAGTTATTACTATGATGATAGTTACAGAACAGCAAAAAAGGGTTTTTTTCCAAGACAGGAAAGACTGATAATGTAATTAGTATATGTGAACCATCTGGTGTCTGCTTTGGAGAGGAAGATGGGTGAAATTAAAAGATTCCCTCTTATTCTTACTCTTGTGTTGTTTATTGCAGTATATAAAAATATTAATGCATTACACTTAGAAGCTTTTATACATGTGGTTTATGTCATCAAAGACTGCCTTGCTTGAATTTCAGTAATAAATGCTAGTTCATGTTTTCATATTTTCTTTTAAACAAATGATCCGTCATGCTAGAAAATGAGAAAGTTCGAAAACTGTTTCCTCTCTCCCTGTCAGGTTATCTCTATCTTATCTAAAGTAAATTTTCTGATATACTCTAGTGTTATAAGCCATGTTTAATATTGTATCTGAATTAATTTCTAGCTGTTGAGAAACCAGAGATTTTCTGCCTCCTTTCATCATGCAGTGGAAACAGTTGTTAATATGCTAATGCCACACATCACTCAGAAGTACAGAGACAATCCAGAGGCCTCAAAAAATGCAAACCACAGCCTGGCTGCCTTTATAAAAGTAGGTACACAAGAGATTTGGACTCTGTGGTTATTCTTTCAATAATATTGCTTCTGTAGGGATGTTATGGAATCTGAAAGCCAACTGATACAAAGCTGAACATGCATAAAGCCTTTTAAATATAGTTTTTTGTCCATGTTAAAATGCTTTGAAGTATGATTTGCATCTTCTGTAAACAGGAAGACATGTATTCAGAAATTTGGTAATTTAAGAAATGAATTTATATTTTATTCAAAATGTATTTTGATTTTCCTTTTTTCTTCTTTTAAAAATATCATTTGGGCTGCCTTCAAATCCTGCAATAGTTTTCAGCAGTGCTTTGTTTGAATGCATTTTATGTGGAAAGACTTTCAGTGTCTTTAATTTTTCAGCCAATAATATCTACCAGGGATAAAAAAGGATGGAAACTGAAATGGCAGATAAAACTTCTAGTGGCATGACATTTTCATTTCTGTCAAGACAGAGTTCTTTTCAAACTGCTTTTTATTTGTGATTTATGATCAGCACTCTTAAGGGAAAATTTGGTATTCATATGCAATATATATATTGTATAAATGTATACATATATTTAGTTGCTTTTTTACTGTTTTTTATATTCAGACTGAAATATCAATAATGTGTTTCAAAAATATACTTATTAAATACAGAAATATAATTACTGAATGCAGAGACAGTAGTAAATCAATTCTATTTTGGTTTTACTTGTTCTCCCTAGAGGTGTTTCACTTTTATGGATAGAGGCTTTGTTTTCAAGCAGATCAATAACTACATCAGCTGCTTTGCCCCAGGAGATCCAAAGGTACTCAGTGTTTTTAAACAAGCTATTTTTAAGTGTTTTCTCTTCTTGATGCATGGGGATAAAGTCTTGCATTAAGTCTCTTCCCAGTTACATTAGAAGTCCCTGCTCTGTGTCTACAGCTTTTTTTTCCATCAAACCACTTTTTTCCTATTTTGATTCCCATCTTTAGGTGCAATTTTGTCACACTAGAGTGTGTGAATCAGAGGAGTAGTGGGGTATAGGGGTGTCAACTAAGCAAAAATTTTAAGCATGAGTGGAAGAAGTCTGAAGTTGGGAGAGTTGATCCTGAATATTGTAAGCTACACTTAGTGGAGTGGGGAAAGCATGTATCAGATGCCCAAAGAGATTCTGCTGTGTGTCCAAACTTTTCTTACATCAATACATAATAGGGTTGTAAACTTTGGACAATGGGAATAGTAAATAGGACCAGTTGTTAAGTATGAGCTATTCTGGATTTATTTGTGCTGACATGTGGAACTTTGACAGGTCTATATCCAACATAGTGCAAGACTGAAATGAATCACCCTTTTTGTGTTAGAAATTTGTTTTTAATATGTTATTCAAATCACTGCATCTGTTGTTTAACTTATACTTTCTTTTTGCAGGCTCTTTTTGAATTCAAATTTGAATTTCTTCGCGTAGTCTGTAATCATGAGCACTATATACCACTAAATCTACCAATGCCATTTGGAAAAGGCAGAGTTCAGAGATACCAAGGTAAATTCTTCCAAAGTAGTAGAAGAATTTATGTTTCTTGTATGTCAGCCTTTTATTATTAGATGTGTACACTGTGTAACTTCAGGTCTGTGAGATGATGGAAATTGAAATTGTTAAATACAAGTCTAAAGTTTCAATCCTTTAATTGAAAGTTAAAGGAAGTGCTTAGGTAGCAGAGTAATCTTTCCAAAGAAAGACACAGTAAACTTTTTTCATATATTTATTCAGGTTTAAAGTCTGAGTAGGTCTGTAGCTCAGTTTTCTACTTTGGTCATGTCAGGCCTTCCTTTCTCTAGAAGTGCTAGTCCTTCCACAGCTGGTGTCACTGCAGGAAGTTTGTCCATCCCAGGTGCAGAATTTTGCATTATTCCTTCTGGAATTTGATTGCCATTTCTCTAGAATCTAGATTCTTCTGAAATGCAACTCTGCCCTTTGAGCAAATGGACTGTACTTGTCCACAAGCTTCCTGAGGGTGTATTTTACCTCCCCTTTCAGGTTGTTGATGAAGTAGTAATAAGTAGGATAGTCCTTAGGAAACTCCTCTTGCAGCTGTCTCCAAATAGGGTACACACCATTAACCTCCACCTCTTGAGTGATCCACATAGTTATTTTTCATATTTGGGTGTCTCTTCACCTAGACTGAAATGTCCCAGCTTGGATACAATGACCATGTTAACATCTGCTGTTCTCCCCTTATAGCAGACCAGTCTTAAAACATGATTTTCCCAGGGTAAATTTATTTTGGTCATTCCCAGTCACACTCTTCTCCTTCACTTACTGAAAAATGACTTCACCTTGGCTTAACAAAGGTGATAATGAGCAGTCTTCCAATAATATCAGTTAACTCTCTCAGCATCTCATCTGGTGGCATGGATTTGTGTGGCTGGAGGTCTCTCAGGAGATCCCTGACCAGATCCTTATCCACTGATCTGATTGTCTTTCTTGAAGATAGTTTCTGGAATGTTAAGGCCTGGGTATCATGTCAGAGAAGGATAAAGTGACAAAGCTATGGAGTACTTCAGCCTTACCCAAGCCCACTGTCTTTAAATCACAATCCCCATTTAGCAAATATCCATGTTTCCCTTATTCAGGGGTTTAATGCTAATGTAGTGGTAAAAGCTTTTCTTGTTTTTATTGATGTCCATTACCAGTTTCAGCTGTATCCTGGCACTCTCCCTGAATACTTCTGTATTCCTCCCTGAATACTTCTGTATTCCTCTTTTGTAGCTCGTTCTCGCTTCCACTTCATGGTTCTGGTTTTGGGGGTTTTTTTGGTTTTGGGTTTTGTTTTTTTTTTTTTTTTTTTTTGGTGTGTGTAGGAGCTCAGTCATGAAAGTTCTGTGTAGCCCAGCTGGGTTCCTGGTACATCCAGTCTTGTGCCAAAACAAGTCATATGTTTAATATTGCTTCTGTGGCTGTGGAGACACATTAATTTCTTCCAGGCACTGAACTACAGCAGAAATCACTAAACAGGAGCAAGGAAGGTGCTTTTACAAGGAACAAGTAAACCTGCCTAACATATTCTTTGTAGAATAGGCTATTTTTTCTGAAATATTTATTCAGCAGACTCTACTAGTTAGTAAAGTTTAATATCACTAATTAACACTTTTCTCAAGGTTGAGCAAGATAAAGCAAAGATTTGAGACCACAAGCTGAAGAGCTGCTTAGAGCTTCTTTCTGTCTTTGGCTTTTTCAGCCTTTGGAAGTGTCTTGGATAATAACACTGCATAAATATTTTCATAGAAAAGAGAGACTATGAGCTGCTGGCTTAGGGAACCTTAGAAAATAGCAAAATCAGAGAAGACAGTGTTTCTGATTGCACAATAAAGAGTATAAAATGCTCCCTGGGAGCTAGGAGTTCAGCCAGGAAAGAAGACCTTTATGAGAAGTGTTTCTGGCTCTGTTTTGCTGTGTTGAGCAAAACATATCTCAGGTGATGTGGCTGTGTTACAATTAAGAGGAATGCCTGTAGAATGTCTGTATAATGGCTGTGCTGTCTCAGATCTGCTTCTTTCTGACTTAAGGGATTGCCTTACTGAGAGGGTTCTTTGGAAAATGAAAGTGCTTTGAGGTTAGCATCTTGTTTTTGATCACTGTATTGAGCAATGACAGTGAACATGAGAAACTCTTCTACACCTCCTCAGCTGACATTGTAAACATATATATATATATGTTCTAATAAATGAGCCCTTCAAACTGAAGTTTCTCTAAAGATGTCATATACTCAGTACATAAATAGACTGGATTATTTTATTACACAAAAGGTACTTTAAAGAGGGAGCAGTTTGACTTTGCTGTGTCTGATGTGCTGGGTTTTAATTCAGCTTTAAGTTGATTGATAAATTGATTTAAATAACCATTCCTTATGTTAAATTTATATTTTGCTTTCAGACCTTCAGCTGGACTATTCATTAACTGATGAATTCTGTAAAAATCACTTCTTGGTTGGACTGCTTCTAAGGGAGGTGGGCAATGCCTTACAAGAATTCAGAGATGTGAGGCAGATTGCCATCAGTGTGCTCAAGAATTTGATGATAAAGCATTCTTTTGATGATAGATATGCTACCAGGGTAAGTCTATTGCTATGCTAGTAGTACAAAACAATAAAGATTAGGTGTGCACACATACAGAAAGTTTGTTCTTTCATAGAAGAAACCCTTGCTAATTTTCAGCAAAATTATTTCTGCCCAGACTGTAATGAAAACTGTATCGAGATCAGTCTGCAAATTCCATCTTTTTACCAAATTAAATGACAAAGCACCTTTTAATATAATTATGTGTGGATTTGCATTTTAGCACAGTGTACTCTTCCTGCTGTGCTTAAAGTAATCAGATTTTTATGAGTGTGTTTCAAGATCTTCATTTCATAAAATATTAGCTCTTAATATTTTGAAGCTGTCCTTCCATCATCTATTATTTATGAAATGGGTATAAGAAAACTACAAGTCACAGTGGTGAATTTTGAGGGATTTTTAATTTTCTGACTCTTTTTAACATCAGCAGTGCTGTAGAGAAGCCAAAAAAATTGTAATGAAAGGTATCATCAACTCATCGAGCTAACTTAATATTAATTTATTTGATTAGTCTTACTGAAATGACATTAGTTTTGGAGTCTTTCTGCATTTTATTCAGACAGTAAATAAAATTTGCTGATCTTTTGTAAATTAGAATGAAATACAGTGATGATCCCAGCTTTTGCCATTTATGAATATGAGCTCTGGCTTGGCAAATATTTATTAAGTGCTTTTTTTTATTGCAATTTAGGAATGAATAGATTAAAACTAGTTGGTGATGAAAAAAATACAACTGTAGTGTTTTAATGAACTGTTAAACTCTGTTTAGGGCCATCAAGCAAGAATAGCCACTATGTATTTGCCACTCTTTGGTCTGCTCATAGAAAATGTTCAGCGGATCAATGTGAAAGATGTGTCTCCGTTTCCTGTTAACCCTTCCAGCAATGTGAGTGACAACTTCTGTTTGGAATTCTGAATTGTTTTTATCATAATTTATTGGTAACCTGTATATGAAACACTGCATACTCCTGGCAAAAAAGGAGCTTCATAAGCTTCAGAATTCTGCAGTTTTTCAGCGCAGTCCAGCACTGAAACAAATGGACCACAGAAAGATTGTTAATTTCCTAGAAATTAGAGAAAAACTTAACCCTAAAGGAGTGTGATTTTGAAAGAGCTATAAAGAGCTATAGTGCAAGAGGGCTATAGGAGAATTAATTAAAATGCAATTTGTGAAGGGTATATATTGATATGGCTGCACACAGCGATTGAATCTAAGATTTAATTATTCATGTATTTTACTTCTGTCCTTATCTTGTTGTGTTCCATTTAGTATTAAGAAAAAAAATCTCCCAAACTCTTCCAACAAGATAAATATTTGGGTGTTTGAATTAAAATAATGTGAGTCTTTTTGAAATACCTATTTAATAGAGTTTAAAATTCAATTGAGTACTCATTTATTCAATGTTTCCTGAGGTGTCTTAAGTTTTAAGGTATCCCAAGCTTATGCAAATATGTGAACATCTCCATTCTTTTGAGGATATTTAATAGAAATTAAATTTTAAGGAAGAAATACTTAACAAATATTTCTCTAGAAGACATGTCATATTCTTGAAGTCCTTAATGTAGGAAAATAATCACTTAAATTTTAATATTTAAATTTTCCTCTCTCTTCCAAACAGAGCACAAAGGATGATGCACCAAGTTTGCCAACTGCAAGTCAGTTAGTAACACCACAAAAATCAGGAAACACATTGGATAACAACCTTCCTAAAGATCTGTTTGGTGTTATCTCTGGCATTGGTAAGCACTTAAAAAAAAGTAAAATAAAACAATTAAAGAGGAATTGTTTTATTTTTTCACTCTGAAATCTGACATGAAATCTGTCTTTGGGATCTTTTGGGGTTTGCTCTTTTATATGAAACTAAAGCTATTTTCTGGAGCAGGGCTGCTTTTTTTCCCTGTCAAAGGTGATAGTTAAATAGATATAAAAAATGGGAAAAGTTTGTTGGTTTTTTTTTCATTAAATAGACATGCTTCTTCATGGAAGTGTGTATGTATTGCTACATGTGTTTTTTATGCATGGATATACATAGTTGTACATAAGTCTGTGTATATGTGCTTAGTCACCCTGAGACACATATATACTTTGCTGAAATTCTGGAATAAGTTTGTCTTCATTAAAAATAAGTAAATGGAATTAATTATTTGCCTTCTTAAAAAATATATGGTGATTTTAAAAGTCTGACTGAGCTATGGAGTGACTTGTTGTATTTATTGTTTGAGATTTTTATGTTGTTTGAGGTTGTGGTTTTATTTTTTTTTAGCTTCCCCATACACCACATCGACTCCAAATATTAATAGTGTGAGGAATGCTGACTCAAGAGGTTCCCTTATAAGCACAGACTCAGGAAACAGTCTCCCAGAAAGACACAGTGACAAGAGCAATTCTCTTGACAAGGTAACAAAAAACAAACCAAGATAAATCCTAAAAGTGTATTTCTAAAATTTCATCCTAAGTCTCATAGAAATTAACTTCTCTGATCTCCATTGTGAATGGGCTTTCTAGAATAACTTCAAAGCAGTATTTTATATAAATTTTTTGCAAAGTAATTATCTTGTGAACTCCTTTTGCATTGCATTTACCTAGTTGTTTCACAAAAAATGCAAACAGATTTCCAATGTAGAGACAAAATCAAGCAGTTGTTGTTTCCTTTGCTAGTGAAAGGCACTAGATGAAGTGTATTGATTGTTGCTTGAGAGGATTGAATTCCAGTTAGAACAGCTTCTTTGATTTTCTGGAGATCATCATTCCATCCCTTTCTATGCTCAGTATACTTGGCATTTCTAAAACTTTGAAAAAACCAGTTTTTGTGCTTTCTCTGGGTGATTTCTTTTATCTTAGTTTGACTTTTCTAAACCATTTCTTTAAAGCTGTTACAAATTAGGAGCTCTGGCTGCGGTAGCTCTGAGGTATTCAGTCCTGTCTTTCTCGAGTTTGTGTCAATGCTGATCACATTTCATTTTCCTAGCTCTGGTTGTGCAAGTCACAACATGTTGACTTTTTCCCCTTGACTCTGACATGCCTTCGTGGGGCAGAGAGAGAAGCTTCTCAGAAGGCACTCTGCTCATGCTTTGCGCCCAGGTGGAGAAGAAGAGGAAAATTGTCACCCTCCAAAGAAAAACCGTGTTACTATGGATTTTTCACTTCTGACAATCCCAGCTTTGCCAGAGAACATTTTGCATACTACTTTCTCTCTTCAGTTACAAGAAGTATCTGATTTTTGTGCTTGGTATAGTTAAGCTTCTGAGTGAAGTGTGTGGTCAGTAGTTTTGCCGCTTCTTTGCAACAGTTGAATCTCAAATATATGCAATTTGACCATGTAAAATATGTTCAAACGTCAAACCTGGGGTACATGCACGTGATCTAGTTCAAGTATATAAAAAATACAATCAGTTTCAATAACTGCAGAATTTGAGTCTTGGGGTCTTTGATAGAACTGAAAGTTCTTCTTTGGTGTTGACCAAGGTAATAAAGAAATATCTTGGTATGCACTGTTGCTAAATGGCAATGCTGTCATCTCTTACTTAGTTGTTATGTTGTTAATTACTAATGTGTAGTGTTTTCACCAAGTAAAAGGGTTTTCAAAGGAGTCAATAGCCTTTGAAAATTCTACTCTGGTCTGCCAACTTAGGTAACAGAGGATTTATGTTTTGCATGCTGTTGATATTTTCCCCAAATAATCCTGGCTTCTTATTTGTTGCTTTCTGAACTTTCTTTCTAGTAGATCAGTTGTTCAGTGCATGTTATCTCCAAGTTTTTGCTAATTGCTTGATATCATTATAGTGAAGAGACATGTTTTTGTTCTAATTTTCTTTTGGAATCATCTCTAGTATTATGCTTGTGGAATCAGAATAGACTGGAAGTATATCAGTTTCTATTTCAATATGTGTAAATTTAGGTTATTGACATGATTCTAAATGAAATAGCTATAGTCCTATTTTATCTGTGTGTATCTTCAACAGTCTTAGTGGGATTATTATCTAGTGCTCTGGGCAGTTTCTTAGAGTCTTGGAAACACAATTCTGTTTCTGCTTGTGACCCATTGATTGCCTGCTATGGCATCCAAAAAGCTGCAGAGCAGCACCTCCTTGTTCACCAGAGATATTTCAAAATAAACAGTTTTTGAGGTCTTTTTGAGGTCTTTAGGATCTGCAATAATTGAGCTCACAGAGGTGTCCACCTCCTCCTAAACTACAGTAACTTCTGGCTATTCATCATAGTTTCACTGTGCATCCATTCAATGACTAGTATGTGATTTACACATTTACTGGTATCAGATTCACAGATTGGTTTAGGACAGGAATTCTTTAATGCAACAGAATGCATAAAAAGGGCTCAGCAGTCAATGGTTGCTGTGAAATGTTCCTTCATGGTTAGTGTGTCTCCTGCTTTCAGGTAGGAGTATGCCAAGAAGTGTTGTTCTAATGTCACTTCTTGCTTTGTTTGTGAAACCAAGTGCTTTTCTCCCTTGAGGCTACCCTTGTATTTGTAAATTTTTTATAGTAGGAGTTGTACAGATCAATTATACCAGACTGTTGACTTTACAGAAAATGTATTAAGTGTCTGGTTCATTTTCCATTTGCATAAGTGGCATATTGGACGTGAGAATTATGCACTATAAGGGGCATCATTTATACTTTAAACAAAAGTTTATACAGTATATCTATAAAAGCTTCAGACTGAGGATTTTGTAACACTATACTGTGTGGAAATCATCCTTTTACAAGTCTCTGCCCAAAGTTCAGTTTATATATTTTTACAATTTTTATTTTTCCATTTTTTTTAGGTGCTATACATTTTGCAAGACCAATCAATTATAGAGCTTTTATCTTTTTGCACAGATGATGGTATTGTGGGTTGCTGATAAACTTCCCACACGTGTAGGAATTACATTAAAAAGTGAAACAGGGGAAGGGTTTTGCTTTTGTTTAGGTTTTTTTGTTTGTATGTTGGGAGAGGAGGGGAGGGGAAGAGCAAGTTACTTAGTAGCAGTTAGTCTTCCAGAATGTATATTATTGCCCTTTATGTATGTTTTTCTTGAGGTTCTTATATCTTTAAGTGGAATAAATTTTGTAGAGGCAGTCCTGTCTACAGTTGAGCAGAAAGTCTCTTGAAAAGCAAAGGAGAATATACGTATCACCTAACAGTAGCATTTGGTTTTCAAGTATTCAGTCTAAGCAGAAAGGGCAGGCTTGATTTCTACAATGTGAGTACCTAGGTATAATTAACTTGTTAAATAATCACTCCTAGGTGACTTTCCCTTTTGCTCCTAGGGGAAAAAAATTATACCTAGAAGGAATTAAAAACAAGCAAAGCAAAGAGGCCTAATTTGGTATACTTGTTGTGTGTAATGTGTGTTTTAGTGACCTGTCTCTACATGAAACATTTTTGTCTCCGTTCTGAGATCCTTTTTCTGCTGCAGGAATTATTAAAGCAATTGAAAACAATTTAGTTTGTTACTAGTTTAAGAACTCTTCAGCCAAAATACATCTGTTTGCTTTTCAGAACCAGCAGAGCAGCACTTTAGGAAGTTCTGTTGTTCGATATGACAAACTTGACCAAGCAGAGATCAAAAGTCTGCTCATGTGTTTTCTTCATATTTTAAGAAGCATGTCAGATGGTAGGTAATTCCTCCTGCTTTTTATAAATTCAAAGTCATTTGCTGGATTTATGCCTGTTATTTCAATAACTTCTCAAAATCAGCAGAATACAGGTGTAGGTACCATGATGTGCTGTGTTTTACAAGTATGTGTGATCACTCAAATTAAACTCTGTCTGAAACCTTGTAAGCATTAAGTACTCATTATTTATTCAAAGTGTGAGGTCAACTAAAGGACTTTTTAAGAAAGTGAATATTTGTGTGTGATGGTACAGTTTGGTTTGTAAAACAGAGGTGAAGAATAATTCATTGTTCTGTAAAAGTGTCTTGGGCTCTGTTCTGCAGAACTTGCTGTATTACAAGGAACCAAATTATTTGATTGTTGTATATATTTCCATTTCTGGAATATGGGGGTATTAGTCCTTCTTCATTCTCTTGGGATGTTTGTGAGATGATCCATTGAATTTTTGAAAGAGTCATGTTATCCTGGAGAAGGTTACAGAGGTATAGAAATAGGGCATGAATGGCACATCTTACTTGTTTGTTAGGATCATACATCTTGGAATCATCCCTGTCTGTGATCAAAGAAAAAAAATAATTAATTTTAATTAAAAAAAAATGTTACAGACCCATCTGTAAAGAAGCAGGTTATAGGACTAACAGTCTGAAATATTCTGAAGTCTTACATTATTATAGGGCTGTAGGCATTACAGGCTACACAATTATTACTATGTAAAATATGAAATTGGATGGGAATATTATGGGCTATTAATTAATATCATATTGCAGAAACTCATTTGGAGAATTGATATGAGCATTTGTATAATCAGTTTTAAGGAAAACTTCAAATAGTAATTGTTACCTTTTAAATTGTTATTCATTTTCCTAGATGCATTGTTTACATATTGGAACAAGGCTACAAAATCTGAACTCATGGACTTTTTCACCATTACAGAGTAAGTTTTTGTTGTGCTTGTCATGCAGCTGTATGTTCTGCTGTTCTAATAACAATTTGAGTGTGGATATAAGCATGTGTAAATGCTTTTTTGCTTGTTCTGTTGTTTTGTTTAGTTTTTTTTAATAATATTGCTCTGATCTGTTTGGAAGTCCTTAACTTGATGTCCCCAGTTGCATGTCTGTCCAAGTCCGTGATAGTCTCTGGAATCAGGCAATACAGAAGGGATCTCAGGAGGTTCTTGAAGAACAAGTAGTGCTCAGAGTATTGCAGTGCTCATGGAGGAGGAACCAACTGTCTTGATACCCTTCTGCATTAAACTGTGTCTTGTAACATCAGCTGTTCAATAGCAAATACATGGTTGTGTAGCAAAACTGATTGAATTGCATAACTTCAGAACTGTGCTCCTAGTATTCCTCATGTGTCCTCTGCTATTCCCTAAGGGAATAGGTACAGGATGAGTCCACTATTCCAGTATGAGTCCACTAGTCTAAAAGACAAGAAGATCTCAGAAGGGGGAGTTGAGGTTATTTTGTGCTCAGAATGACAAGTCTGAGGAAGGCAAACACCATTCTGCCCAGACAGGTTGGAGAGAGCTGAGCTACTCAAGGTCTCAGTAAAAAATGAAGCTGAGTTGAAGAGGCAGTAAGGCAGTCTGTTCTCTCATTCTCAGCTGGCACATGGAAGACAGAGCCTGAGAACTGGCTTTCCTTTTGGCTTTACACTTTAGAGAAGAACTTTTAGAATACCTTATTGGATCAACATGGATGTTGTGTTGTTTTCTGTATTATTGGAATAAATGTTTACAGTGTGAAAAGAGTAAAATAAAATCAGTATTACAGCTCCACTCACACCACTTCTCTTGATTTGAAAATATGACTTCTAGTTAATTAGTCATTAGTGTTGTGCACTTACCAGTAATATAGATTATTTTTTTAATGAAAATTTTTGTTGTTAATTTGTCTTTGTCATCATCTTGTTATAAAAGCATATACCCTTTTGAAAATAGTTCTTTCAGAAACTATTATCTTGGAATCTGGAGACCTTAAATAAAACCCAACAAAACAAAAAAAAGCCAATTTGTAGCCAAGTGAATTTAGGCTGGGGTGGAGGGAAACAAAATGTTTTGCCCCTATTTTGAACAGTTACACACAATTTAAAAAATTTGTGTAATTAGGCAATGTCTGGCTATCTCTTTGCTTCCCTCTTCCATGTTAGTTGTCCTGTCTTGTTGTCCGTTTGTAGATAACTGACACATTTACCTTTTCTTGGCTTGGGGTTTGGAAGGGAATTTTAAGGCTGGGAGAAATAAAGAACTTTTATGATGCAAGAGTTTAAAGTTAACAATAATTGTTGAATAATTCCAGTGACATAAATCTGGAAAAGATTTTTTAAAGTGTGGCTTCTCTGACTTGTGTTCTCTGCAGAGTGTGCTTACATCAGTTCCAGTACATGGGGAAACGATACATAGCCAGGTACTGTGTGGAATTTAAATTTCACTCTCTTGTTTGTTAATAACTGCACTGTGTGAGGTATGCCTTGAACTTCTGTAACAAATAAACTGCACAAGTAGAAAAGTTATTGTGGAATGATGCGTAAGATTTTGAAGTAAGTAACTGGTTACCATATTAACAAATCTGTATCCTGTCTGGAAGTCTGGTATTTGTTTAAGAATGTTCTGTGAGCTGTTTTTGAATGATGACTTCAGAAGCCACCCCTTAAAAGCTATCTTTTACAGCATTTTTTCATTGAAATAATTACTTTGGGAAAGAAAGTTTATGATGTTTTGTTTATTCAGTTGGCCATAAAACCACGTAAATTGAAATGTTTCAGAAATTTCGTATATTTAATGTTTTTACTTGAAGGTAAGTAGTGAACATTCCAGCACTGCTGGTTTTAAGTTTGAAGTCTGAAGAAAATCTGTGGAAGTCAGAAACCAGTATTAATTTATTTTTATATCTTTGCATTAATTTTTTTTTAATACAAAGTGTTTTTTAATGAAGTAAGAGATCCAACGTCTTTAGGCCTTATGCTGTGGTTGACATGGTAAAAGTGTTATAATTAAACTGATGTGGTTAAAATACTGGCCCTTTTGAACTCAGTGAGAAATTTGTTGCTGACTTTGGATGGTAATACATTCTAACTATAATGTTAGCTTTTTTGGTTTTAATTTAGATAATGTGAATCTTCTTCTACAGACTTGACTCTCTCCTTGGAGATTTTTCTGGGGGGCAAAAAAATGGTTCACATAACGTAAAAAACTCAAAAATAAATCTGGCTTTCTTAAGCCAGATTTTTTGATTGTAATCTTTGTGTTCAAATGCACATCAAACTCTGGATGTACAGGAGATTATAATTCTCAAGCTTTTTATAAAAGTTCTTCCAACTTCTTTGTTTGATGAGTTTGTAGAGGACACTACTACACTTCTTTTTTGTTTGCTCATCACCTGGTCTGTGTGCTGCATGTTAATGTTGAAAATGCTGAGCTATGGAAAGCATCTGGTGTTGTGAATTTTCCCAGTAAATGTAACTTTCATGTCTTTCACATTGTCACTACACTGAAGTATATCACAGTCAATGCACATACTGTTAAAATACACAGATGACAGAGAACGAGAGGGAACAGGGAATTCTGCAGTTCAAGCACTGGTTTTCATTTTTCATCAGCTCTGGTGGTGGTACACAGTAGGAAGTTAGCCTGTACTGATTGCTAACACAGATCACTTTTCTGTTTTCTTCATTTGATTGCTGCAAATTTAACAAAGTCTATGGCTCTTCTCCCTTCCTGCTTGGGTAAGAAGTATATGATACTGTCTCAGTTAATTCCTGCTCTCCTGTTGCATGCATGCTTTCTAATTTTAGTGCTGTGTGTCCTAACTTTTTTGCTATTTTTTTGCAATCAAAATAGAGGATTCAGTTTTGGGTTCTGAATATTTTCAGAATATTTATATTTGCAAATACCATTTTTTTTGAAAGCTCTGAAGTAAATTTAGCACTTCAAGAGTGACTGCTTTTGTGCTTTTGCTTTCATGCTTTGAGGTTTTAAGAAAGAGTTTGCTGTGATGCTTTTTTTTTGAGCTACCTATTTTTGTTTTATAAAGAAAACAGTGAATAGGTTGCATTATAATTCTTTCTATAAAACTTCTTGTGCTTAACTAACAGCACTTCCTGTCTTGCTGCAGTTTGACATGTCTAACTTTTGCTTCTATCCCATTTCACCCATCTTGCAGGAACCAGGAGGGGTTAGGATCCATAGTTCATGATCGAAAATCTCAGACATTGCCTGTTTCCCGTAACAGAACAGGAATGATGCATGCCAGATTGCAGCAGCTGAGCAGCCTGGATAACTCTCTCACTTTTAACCACAGTAAGTCTCATGACATGATAACATCTGTCATCCTCAACCAGTACCACAACACCAGAGACAGGTCCCAGAGCCACACCAGTGCATCCCAATGACTTTTACTGTTCCAGGTCAAACAAATAGCTGGAAGCAGTCCATGGTCTGTTCTCTGCTTTGTGATAGAGCAATCACTGCTGGGTGGTGCCATAACATGGAGCATGGTTAACTACAGTCTATCTTAAAACTGTATTTTAATATTTTCTTTTAGTTATGTACGCATCACACTTTGCTGCGCATAGTTACAAAATTGACTTTTTGGTTTTCTATTTGTTTTATTGAGCTTCAATTTTTTTTCTTCTCCTATGTGGTCTTATAAATTACTAGTCTCAAATTAAATATATGTATTCTGACCATATCTCCATGTTTTGACATCCCCTGAAGAGAAATAAGTTTCTTAGAATTTCTACAAAGATTGCAAGCCCATGATTTAGTTTGTCTGGAAGTGAAAAAGCGTCCAATAATGAAGTGATTTTTCTGTTTTCAGTGTGAGAAAGATATCAAGTATTCTTGGAATTTCTGTAGACAATGGTAAGATTTAATCAGGTTGAAGTCAGCTTGTATAGAACTGCTGTATTGAAAACTAAATCTGCTTGTGGCCTATCTTTTTAAACATTCTGCTTCTAAATTGCAATATACTGTATGTAAAGTATTCTAAAGCACCATTTCTCAAATTTCAGCTTCAAAAAACAATGAAACTGGTGGACTAATTCAGTAAAATACAGCACTGGTATTGAAGAGTTGTGTGCAGTAAAACTTGAGTTAACTGTATTTTCACTGTGTTCATTCTTTGATTTCTCAAAGCATATCTAACTGTCCCTTAAAATCTTTTAGCTCTTTTTCTGTAATATAAAGCAAAATTTAGCCTAATTGCACAAGACTTATCACATTGTCTTGTGTAAAAGTGAAAAAAAAATCCCACAAAACCTCTCTATTCATAAATGCATTATCACATCTGTTTAAATGTAAGAAATGCAATTGCCTGCTTTTAAAATGTCAGGCAAGTATATGGAAATTACTTTTTTTTCCCTTGCAATCAGTCTGCTACTGCTTTATCATCATAATTTCTACATGGTTGTTGATACACAAAAGAAAGCCTTTACACTACATGGCTACACATTTGGTACAGTATAATAATTTGCAGATAAAGGCTGGTTTAAAAAAAAAACCTCTGAGAAACAGATAACATGTCCCTGTGCAAAGAGATTTCATGCTTTCAGAACTTGGCAATATTTACTGACTTTTTAGGAAAATGAGCTGAAAGATTTTAAAAAATGCATGCCTATGTAAAAAGAAACTTTCCATTCCTTTCCAACTGAAGGAAATTATGAAGGAAGGTGTCTTATTCAGATAACTTTGTCTAAACTGATAATAGGTGGTTTTTTTAATGGACAGTTAATAAATATCAGGATATTATACATTGTATTGACCAAGGTTTTACAAATCGAAAATATGTTGCTGTAAAAACCACATGAAGTATGAAATTGATTTTTATATCTTTGTTCTGTTGTTGTTAATGTCCAGTTTTGTTTAGTTGTCAGTCTGCCTCTATCATGTATCCAAAATAGCATTCAGAGCTTGAATAATCTTGCAGATATTTTGTGTGGGATACATAAAGAAAGGAAGTGTCTGGTGGAAATAGTTGCTTTACTTGTTTCTAAAATCAAGATTCTTTGGCAAGATAGTTGTCTATTAGTGTAAATTATAAACTTATTTTCTCCCTTTCTACCCACCTAAGCTAGAAATAGAACTGAAATACTTTTTCATATATACTTTTTCAATATCTATCATACCTTGCAGGTATGATACCTTTCATCTCTGAGAAATTTCAGTGTAGTTTTTTGCTTAAAGAAAGAACATATAAATCTAAAGAAATTGGTGGTTATGGGTATATGTGTGTAGTTCAGCCAGGGAAGCAAGAAGGTGCAGAAAGAAGTGGCCAGGTGTCATTACAAAGGAGTTTGGCATTTCTTCTGTTCTTTACTTGATCTCAACAACTTTGTCATCCTTGTCATTTATTTAGTGATGCTAAGTTGTTTGTAAATCTGACATATGAACATGACCCAGACCAAATGTTTATAAAGCAGCCCAGTCATATTTGTCAATCTGGTGCTTCATGACCAGTGTTAGGGAACAGAAGTGACACATTATTATCAGTGCTGAAGTAGGATATATTTTTGAGATTATTAAAGTTCACTGTGGAGCTAGAAGTGATAGAATGTTTTTATTAAATATGGAGATATTGCATTGCATTGCTACAAGAGCAGAATTCATTACTCGGGTGGTAAACTGCATATAGGTATGGGATTGTATTCCTTCAACTCTTACTGTTTTGTATTTTTATCCTGATTGACTTGTGATTAACTTTGAGACCATTGTAACATCACTAAATTGCCAAAACTACATATTTTCAGCTGTAACTTCATCCTACTGCAGTACTTACCAATATATGTGTGTATATATATATATATAACTGTGTAGCTTTATATATATATATATATATACATTTGTGTCTACATGCACATAAATATGAAATATCACATAGTTTTTAACTGCTGTTTAATGCTTCTGTTGTTGAAATTCTTACTTAATATGTTGGAATAATTATGTTGGAATAATTGTCTGACCATATTTGAAACTATTTAAATGCATATGAATTATTTTCCTGTATTGAATACTAACTTCTGTTAGGCTTTTTACTTGTTAATCTTTTCCTAGTTCAGCAAGTCTTTTGGAAATAAGAAACATTTAAATGAGTGTATCCAGCACTTACACTTCATTTGGAATTTCTGTAGGCTATGGCCATTCAGATGCAGATGTCCTTCACCAGTCTTTACTTGAAGCAAATGTTGCCACCGAAGTTTGCATTACAATTCTGGACACTCTGTCATTATTCACAATGGCTTTTAAGGTTTGTTCATGACTTGGTGCTAACTTTTCCCATAAGTATCTTTGTGAAGATATACTTTTAAAAACTATTTTTTAAATTACATTTTTATAGTCTAGTTAAATAGCATTGCTAATTTTAGCTTCTCTAGCATTGTATTTTATTATTTTCATGAGAAAATGATAATATCTCACAGAAAAATGCTTTGGCTTCAGCTACACATCATACACCAGCAGTAATCTATGGGAAAAGCTCCCTCCTCAGACTAACTTAAAAATAGTTCTAGGAGCTTTGGTGTTTACCTAATATTAGTGGTAAAAGTGGCTCTTAAAGGCCATGTGGGGTGAAAGATCTATGGCAAAACCATAATTGGATACTCTCAGACTTTCATGTTGAACTTGGCTGCTTATGATAGTAATGCACTCCTTAATAGTGATTTGTGTGTTCCTCTTCTGTAACTTTTTTCCATTTGTCCACTAATAAGACTTCTTTTAGTTGTATCAGTTGCTGTAGCTCTCCTGTGGAATCTTTATATAGCACACCAATTACTTCCCCCTCTTGGCTGTTTTTCTGAGGTTTTCCAGACTTTAAATCGAAGCCATAAAAAGAAGAGATGATAACTCTAGCTTGTTTCTCCTTTAATTGGGGCAGTGTATCCAAATTCTTGCTTGAAGATTCAAATTTAGTGTCTTATCTTTAATCTAGCTATGAAAACATGAGCTTATTTACAATGAGCTTAGTTTTTTTCTGGTAATTAATTTTGTAGAGTTTAGAGCCAGTTCTGTCCACAGATCTGGTTACAGAATTGAAAATTAATAAACTAGCTATAAAGATTTTAAAAGGAATGAACACTGATTATCCTGTAATTATCAACCCATCATGCTTGGAATGACAATCCTTCAAGGTTATCTCTGTGTTGTATGTTGAGAAGGTAGGCAAGAGTATGCCAGAATAGTTTCAAAGATACAAATAAAACAGGACAATCAGGAGCTTCTATTCAATAAACTGCACTAAAATATATAAAATCAAAGTCATATGGTTTGGGTAGTAAGGAACTTTCAAAGATCATCTAGTTCAACCCTTCTGCATGGGCAGAGACAATTTCCACTAGGCCAGCTCCATCCAGCTTGGCCTTGAAAAAACCTTTCAAGGAATCGGGCATCCTCTACTTCCCAGGGCAACCTGTCCCCTTGCTTCAGCACCCTCACTGTAGAAAAAGTTCTGCTTATGTCCATTCTGAACCCAGCCTCTTCCACTCCTTTGGAGGCTTTATATGCAGGTTTGGAGGTTTATATTATTATTTGGAGGTTTATATGCAGAGGTGACAAGGAAGAGTGGAGTGCACCTAGGGGCGTATCAGAAGGGGCAGGACCTTGTAGAATCACATTGTAGTAGGAGATTCTGCAATGAGAAAATTCCCCTGTGTGGGCTGCTAAAGCCAGTGTAAGCAAAGTCTGTTAATACTTTGAGTGTACCCCTCAAAAAGCTATTAATAGTCATGGATTTAATTAACAACTGATAAAAACAATCATATTCTGTAAGTCTATTCAGAAGGAAACCCTTTATAAGCAAAATTAATGAAGTGTTAGAAATACCTAGTTAGAATTCAGATGTGTGTGTGTTATACATCTTGGTAATGCCATAGAGGTTATATTTTTTTAAATGTCTTGCTTTTTGATGATCTGTATATGTTCTTATAGTATAAATGTATTGCTGTACAAAACTCCTAAATCCTTGCTATTGTTTTAAAGAATCAGCTACTGACTGATCACGGACACAATCCACTGATGAAGAAAGTATTTGATGTATACCTCTGCTTCCTTCAAAAGAATCAGTCTGAAACAGCATTGAAAAATGTATTCAGTGCTTTAAGGGCACTTATTTACAAGGTAAGAAGTTTTTAAAAATTCATCTTCAAGTACTTGTCCAGTTCTTTAGTTAACAATATATAAGAATTTAAGAACTAACATACCAAAATAAAATTGGTGACTATGAACTGATCTGATCTCAACAGTGTGGAATGCTCGTCCTTTGATTTGCTGTAAAAATTGTTTTGTGTCATGACCTACTCTAACTCTTGCTCTTTCCACAGTTTGAGGATATGAATATATTTGTGTTTTTCTTGACATGCTTAATTTATCAAGATCTGACCCTAGTTTTAATGAATAAATTCTTTGTTTTCTTCTTTTTCCTCAGTTTCCTTCTACATTTTATGAAGGTAGAGCTGATATGTGTTCTGCACTGTGCTATGAAATTCTGAAGTACTGTAATTCCAAGCTGAGTTCAATTCGTAATGAAGCTTCCCAGTTACTGTACTTCTTGATGAGAAATAATTTTGACTACACAGGGAAGAAGTCTTTTGTTCGAACACATCTGCAAGTTAGTATATTTTCTTTTTGTTTTAATATTGGAGATACACAGTTGCATACCAGTGTGCAAAGCCCTGTCAGATAAACTTAAAATAATTTATTTGGGGTTCAAGCAAGGCTGGTACTAAGAATAAGAAGATGGCCATAAAAATATATTCAGTACAAGGAAATACTTAGAAACAGTTGGATGACCCTGTGTTTTGTAGGAAATGAATTTTATTTGTCAGTGCAAACATTCTGTTTTGTAGATGTTATTTTGTTTGTTAAATGGTGTTTCCTGTTGCATCTGAAGAAGGAAAATAATGCAGCAACAAGCACACAGAAGTCTAAAATAGTGCAAATAATTTGAAACTTGTGTGTCTTGACAAAGCTGGGAGCAGTAGTTTGCCAGTTTAATGACCTCTGGCTAATTCACCTAGCAGTCAGTCATGTGTCATGAATTTACACAAGCCTGTTTTATCCTATGTTATTGTACAAGTAATTGGAAAAGAATCCCCAAACATTATTTTATTTAGGAGAATGATTTTTCAATTAAAAAGAACAAAACTTCCTTTGTAATTGCCTTAGAGGTACATCTCAAGGGTATTTAATGAAATATGCTCTAACATGATGTTTGTTTCTGTCAAGGTTATTATTTCAGTAAGCCAGTTAATTGCTGATGTGGTTGGAATTGGAGGAACTAGATTTCAGCAGTCTCTTTCCATCATCAACAACTGTGCCAATAACGACAGAATTATTAAGGTCTGGCTTTATTCCTATTTCCATACTGTGGAAGGATGCTTGAAGACTCTTTCACAGCATCTTTTCCAGTTGTATTTTATCACTTTGTTGTGCAATGACTAGGAAAACACAGTAGTTAACCTGACTTTTCCATGTTTTAGCACACTACATTCCCTTCTGATGTTAAGGATTTAACCAAACGGATTCGTACGGTGCTGATGGCTACGGCTCAGATGAAGGAACATGAGAATGATCCAGAAATGCTTGTAGACCTCCAGTACAGCTTGGCAAAGTCCTATGCAAGTACACCTGAACTGAGGAAGACATGGTTAGACAGCATGGCAAGGATCCATGTTAAAAATGGAGATCTTTCAGAGGTAAGAGGAAAAAAAATCAAATTAGTTGTAGCTCTGTAATAAACTTAAGCTTATCTTTATAGAAAGGGAGTGTACTATATGTAGTTGCTAGCATGTAACATAATAAGTCTTTTTTAACAGTTTTTGAATTGTTGCTGGATTGATTTCAATAGCTGATAAGCTTTTGTCCTACCCAAGTACATCTGTAAGTAATTTCTCATTATTAATGAAAGGAACATGTTTAACTGATATAACTGACACACTACTAAGAATGGAATGCACAATTCAAGCCATGGAAGAGAGGTCTTTTGCTTAAAAATATCTTTGTTATTACTTGTTTAAACACTTAAAGCCACTCCTTGAATTCTCCTCCAGTTGCCTTTACAGAATTAGCTTGACTTTATTCCAAATTGCTTACTAAAAAACCTACTAATGTTCTTAAAACTGACAAATAATTTTTTGTGTCATTTGAAAAAAGGAAAGCTTTCTGTTTTTACTGTGCTCTTAAAATAGTCAGTTCTAGCAAGAAGCAGAATTGGGGATTGTTATATGTCTTAATGAGACATTAACACTTAACTGGATTCAGATTAATTTTGTCTCTTTCTGGAAGCTTTTTCCATCTGAAAGTAAATTGCTTTGTATGAAATCATTGCATTTCATAAGCATCTGTTAAAATGAGCATCATGTGAGCAAGTAAAAATCTCCAAGAAATAGAAGATGCCATCTTCCAAACTCAGTTCTTAGTACTAGAATTTTCTTCTTCTACATGGTAGCAACACAGAAGAAATACACATTACTCTGTTATTAGCTTGTCTTTTGAACTGAACAGCTTCACCTATCTGAGAATACAAAGTCTTTTAGTCCTTTTCAGTTACGTTTCTCATTTTTTGTTAAAATCTTAGAATCTTTGACTGTGTAACTAGAGGAAGATGTCTGCAAATCATCAAGTTCAACTTGATATAAAGTATGAGTTCATTTCTGGCAGATTCTTACCTTTTTCCTTCACCCCTTCACCTTCATTGCTTGAGGTTGTGCAGCCTCCATATCTGAGCTGTTCAACTGATAGTTACTTTGCTGAAAGCCTAAGCCTTTTTAATAAAATAAGGATGTCAAATCTTTTTATTTTTTTGGAGAAAAGTCAGTATCAAATCCATAAAAAATCTCAGATATCTGAAAAGGATTCTGTCCCTCTTCTTTTTTTTTTTTTTTCTGTTTTTCAAACTGCACCAATTCCTTCAAATTCCATTCATAGGTTAGGTCTTTCTTGCTGCTCTCAAATGGCCTGTCACCAGTTTCTTCTGCATTTTTCTTGGTCAGGAGGCAAAAAGCAGACAAAACAGGTTAGCAGAAGGGCTACCAAATGTTGAGTAGAATCATTAATAGCTTAACACTTAAAATACCTCCCCGCAAAAGAGAGATTCACTTGTTTTCATCACATCATGATGTTCCTACCTCATGATTTGTGACCCAGGGTCACTCTTAGATTGTGAGCTGCTGTCCATGCCACTCAGGGCTCTGGTTAAGAAGGAGTAAATGCACTTGCACTGTTATTGCTTTACATAAATGAGGTGGAGAATTCTTGCAGTAGTCATAGAATATCTCCTGCAAAGCAACAAAAAGGAAAACTGAAGAACCTGTCTCATACTGTTGCTCTCCATATATACCTTGTTTTTAATATTCCCATTTTAGTTGTATTTTAAAAGATTGTACTGTTTCTGTTTTAGGCAGCAATGTGCTACGTCCATGTTGCAGCACTGGTTGCAGAATATCTCACACGAAAAGGTATGATTTCAAAACCTTATTGTAATGTACTCAAATATATTTTTATTAGAATTTGGGAAAATAAATCATTTCCTTGAGGAAGTTGTAGGTATTTCAGTGTTCACTAGAGAAAAAAATTCTGACCTAACCCAGTAGCAAACTCACATGCTTAAGAGTAAACTTGCATATCTAAGGGGCAGCATTTCAGGTGAAGGCAAAGCAAAATTTTTGGAAAGTAAAAATTTTAATTTTACACCAGAGCTGCTAATAGCTCAAATCAGATCCTTTCTAAAGCAAAGTTGTCTGTGAATATTCTTGTTTCTACAGTCTCTCACTACCTCTAGGGAAATCTGGCACTGCCAGAGGAGTCAAAATAAATTTGTACAAATTTTCAGATGTTCAGTGAATGACAATAGTGCTCAGGCTGTTTCACCTTGTTGTGGTATATTCTGCCAGCAGCTCTTTGTAAAAGTGGAGTTTGATGACCCTTGAGATAGGGTAGAAAATTACCTTTCATCTACAGGATCAGAAGAGTTCTCAGTCAGGGATTTGAGAGATAGAACTTAAATTAACAAAAAGAGCTCTCTTGAAGAAAATTTCAGGAATCTGTTAAAACTGATTATGATGTTGAGCTAGTGTTTTGGATTTGTGGGCAAATTCATGTTTGCATCTTTTTAGCTTTGCCTTTGCGTGGCAGTTCAAAATGAAGTAAAATCATGAGTGTAAAAGATGACTTATCTCTATTCTTGTTGTGCTTCTCACCAAATGCTTGTGCAGTGTATAGGCTATTTTCTTTGCCCCAGTGATTTCAGAACCTTCTCTGAGACCAAATCTGAAATAAGCTGCTTATTCAAATTACAGTGTCCAGTTGAAAGCCTGATGATACCTGAGAACTAGTGATAGTCTCTTTTTATTTGTGAGTCCTTTGGGTGTTCAGCTATTTTTGTATACTATCATATAAAATTGAGTTCCTCTCAGTAGAGGGTCAAACTCCTACCTGTGGTACTTCTAGGGACAGAAAAGCCCCTTGCATTTGAGGGAATCATTCAATAAAACCTCTGATGGTCAGAACTCCTCACTGAGCAGCAAGAATCTTTGTAGGAAGAGTTGTAAAATAAATATGTGCAAATCCTTAAGCTTCCATAATATTTACTGATTGCCCTTGAGGTTTAATTGATACAGAAAATCCTGTTTTCTTAATTCAGCAGTCTGATGTAATCAAAAATATCTAAACAGCATGAGTAAAAGACATGGGTTTCATGTTGGAACATTCTATACTCCATTTTTGTTAAGGTTTTGTTTGTTTTTTTTTAATAAAGGAAGTTAGATTGGTATTTTGTTAGTTTTTCTGTGTTTGAATAATCTGGTTTGCCATCCCTTGATCAATTTTTTATGGTTAATGTCATTCATATTGTTCAGACTGGAAAAAATTATGTGCCAGGTCCTGCCCCTGTACTCAGGTCCAGTTGAGTAAGTAAACTTCATGGCAGTTTAATTAAATACTGTAAAAGTTACCTTGAGTACCTTAAACTTAGGGTGGGGTAGATTAGACACAAATTTTAGATAAAGTAGGAAGATTCAGACACTACCTAGTTTGGTAGGTAAGGATCCAGATATTAACATTTTTGGGTTTTTTTAAAACCCATTTGTAAATTCACAATAATGTAAGGTCTTATATTTTAATCATGCAGTGGGAAGCTGATCTATTCCTTTGTTTGGTGATAGGTATATTTAAACATGGCTTCTGCTTTATCCAGAATCACAAAATGGCCCAATGTTATCCTGCTGGAGAAAATGAAATTTGTCTTTATTTCTTTTTCAATGACAGGGATGTTTAGGCAAGGCTGTACTGCTTTCAGAGTAATCACACCAAATATAGATGAAGAGGCTTCAATGATGGAGGATGTTGGAATGCAAGATGTTCACTTCAATGAAGTAAGTAAACATAAAAATGTTAAAATTTACATACATGGAAGGGCTGGGGTTTTTGCAAATTTTATGTTTCAGTCTGGAGAATTACTGATACAAGGGATACAAGAATTGTTTTCTGGTCTGCTATTTGTACCCTAAAGCTGAAATAAAAAATTTCTGTGAGGCGTCCTAGATTTAGAGAATTTACTGTAGACATGTATTTTAAATATAGTGCTAGCACATCAACTCAACTTTTATTCCACTTTGGAGTAAAAGCAAATTGGGGGTTTATTCTAGTTGACAGGATGAACACTAATGTGGGTTACTTATTAGAGTTAGCAAAATCTGTTGTTTTGTAAAACTGACTTGGATTTCGAGTATTACTCCATCAGAAACCATGAAAATGTGTTCACTGGTTTTCTGCTGTTTACAATTTCCCAAAGCAAATATCCCATAACAATGAAAGTAGTTTTACTGACACCAAACTTGTGTCCATGTGTTTTTTCTGGCTTAAGTTTCACTCCTTGTGTGTTTGCTGATCCATCTGTGCAAGCTCTACAGTAAATTTTACTAGTAAGCAGCCTATATGAAAATGTTAATAATCTCGCTTCTGAAAAGCTATGTATGCACTCTGTATTTGCTGGTATAGTTGTGGCAGAGAGGGGCAGACCACAATTGGCAGCAGTTATGTTGGAAAACCCTCTGGTTTGTAAGTGTAATTGTACAACAAATATATTTTTCTTTTGTGTTTTAATTAGTGTATGGTAAAGCTGTATGATAATATTACTTGACTGTGCAAATTGGTTTGTGGCTTGTATTTTTTTTTCAATTTTTGTGCTGTCTTTTTAAAATCATTGATTCTTCTGATCCAGCATGAAATGTAGCATGTTACTCAAAGCAAAATGCAAGCTGCTCTAAGTTACAGAAGATCAGGAATTCTAGGGACTACTGCTGATGGAAAGTTTTGTTGGAAATTTCTGTCACTGTTTTCCTGCCAGACCATTGTCAGAGTTAAATTATTATGCATTTTTTAAAAAAATTGGAATGTCTTTTTTCTTTTTCTCATTAGTCACTCCCTGCAGAAAGAATATACTGATTTTTCTGGGTCATTGAACCCTACACAAATTTATTTCCATCTCTCAGTATTTCCGTGGAACGGAAGTAAGCCAAGAGTGAAAATATAAGCCTGTACAGCTTGCAGAAGGATCAAACCAAGCCAAATTTTATTTTTTCCCTGCATGCAACCCTTTCTAAACTTAACCATGTAGTACTCTAACTGATGAAATATTGAAAAAAGGTACTATTTTTCAGATAACTTCTGAAAGTTATCTGAAACATGGGAAAAGTAATAATAGGGGAGAAATAATAATAGTAATAATAACAAGAGTAACAATAGGGAAGAACAGTTTGGCTTCTGAAAATCCTTTCAGAAGTGCTTCAGAACAGACAGCCCTTTTCCTTCAGGAATAGGAACATATTCATAAATGGAGTGTTTCCTCAGTGTGTTCATAAGTTAGCAGAACTGTATTGTCTGAGAAAAAAATGAGGTCAATTGGGTGCAGAAGTCAAAAAGCAGAAACATCTTTCAAATTGTATTTTACTACTACTTAGCAAAATGATGCTCTGATGAGAATTCTTCTTATACATGGTAACAAGCCATGTGGAGTTTCTTCCCTTAAAACTAGTGATTTCCCTTTTTGCTAGTTATTTTAATTTCTAAAGGAGCACTTACAAGTATTGGAGGATAAGAGAGAATCCCTTCATGTTTTTAAAAGGGTCAAAATATCTTTCATATTCTCCAGTTTATAAAACCTCTTCCTAATTAAGTGAGATTTTTCTTAAGACTTACATAGATTCTCATTTTTAAAAAATTGAAATTTTGGGATTCTCAATTTAGTTCTCATTTTAAAAGAATTCTGTGTGAGGTCAGAGTTACCTAAGCTAGCCAAAAATTAGTTTGGTATTTTGCTTTTTAACAAGGCTACTGTGTGCATTTCATCAAAACAGTTGCTTGCCTGTGACATTCCATGAGAGGCATTGTCCTGAGTTGCAGATGGGTAAATAAAGGAGCCTCGAAGGAACACAGTGTCCTCTCAAGGCTGTACAAAGACAAGTGGAAAGCCTTGCACCTTAAAAAAAAAAATCAGCAAAAAAATCTCAGTACAGGCCAAGCAGCAGCTCTGCAGAAAGACCTGGAAGTTCTAGTGGAGTGCCTGTTGAATGGGAATCATCAGCGTGGCTTTGTGGAAACAAAAGCCAATGCAGGTTGTGATGTGTTTGAGAGGATTGACTCAAGAAGCAGAGGGAAGGGAGTTTTTTCCCTTTTATGCTGGCATTTGTGGAACCCCATCTCTAACCTTGTGTCCAGCACTGACCCCCAAAAGTCAAGACAGGTGTCAACAAACTGGAAGAAGTCCAGTCCAGAATCAGACTTTTCCAAGAAAAGCACCACTAAGAGCAAGAAGCTGTGCTCACAGGTGTCAAGGTGCATACATTGCATATATGGAAAAGAACTTTTCCCATGAGAATAGATAAATATTGAGACATGTGGCTCAAAAAATATTGTGTTCTTTTGCTCCTTCCTATCAGCTCTCCCACTTGAAGCTTTGCTCTTCATGTTCTTTTCCTTTTGTAAACAGAATTTTACTTTTCTACATCTGGATGCCCTCTGGTGTCTGAATTAAGATTTGTGTCATAAACCAGTGTTTGTGGTCAGCCCTTGTGGTCCAGCAGTGACACTGGTCTGTCACTTGTCACCACTTGGCTGCTGAGAATGGAGGTACTGAGGAGTCTGTACAGCCCCATAATGACTGGGGGAAAGGAGGAAATATTTTAAGGTCTGTTACAGGATAAGGGATAAGGGTACCATTCTTTAGTCTGTACTCGCAGTGTTAAAAATTGATCTTCTTAGTGATGTCTTTAAGCTGACTTAGTCCTCTTCCAAAGGGAAGGTGGAATAGAGTAGCTTCTAAGCATGAAAGGAGCTTTTCCAGCTTCTGGCTTCACCACTGTGATGCAAGAGTGGTAGAAGAAGGTCCAAAGAACTTTCAAGAATATATAAAAGCAACATGCTGTTTGTAAATACAAGGAGTATGTGTGTAAACTCAGACCATTCTGTCTTGTTTTGTTTCCTTTTAGCATTTTTTGATTGCCACAATAACTTATATTACAAAGTGTACATAATTCTGTTTTGAGGCAAGATTTCCGTTTTCACTGGGAAGAATTTTGGTATAATAATTTGCTATGCTTTTGATGAGTACTGAATTGTTTTACACTTTCAAATGTGTATCCAAATCTAGGATGTGCTGATGGAATTGTTGGAGCAGTGTGCTGATGGACTCTGGAAGGCAGAACGCTATGAACTCATTGCTGATATATATAAGCTTATAATTCCCATTTATGAAAAACGGAGAGATTTTGAGGTACTTAATTCATCAAAAGTAAATTTGAGCAAGAAAAAAACCCTGAATTTTCAAGTCTAACTGCATGACACATTGTACATCACATAATAAGAGTATTGAAATTGTAACTGAAATTTGAATGTGTTGAAATGTTTGTTTTAGTTTTAAATAATTATTTTTTTCTTTAAATATAAATAATTAAAAATTAGTCTTACATATTGTCATCCTGATACAAGTGCTAAACCTAATACTACCATTCAATAAAAGAATGTTTTCTGTTGTTACTGGCTACAAGGGCATAATTTATTATTTTAAGATAGGAAAGTTGTGCTTTGTTCTTCTCCCTCATTATTGTTTTCTTTCGCTTTTAGAGGCTTGCTCACTTATATGACACCCTTCATCGAGCATACAGCAAAGTTACTGAAGTTATGCATACAGGCAAGAGGCTGCTGGGGACTTATTTCAGGGTAGCATTCTTTGGACAAGTGAGTGTTCCTTTCACTGGCTTGCTCTATGCAGTGAGAAAAACCTGAATTTATTGTACAAGGTTTACTCTTTCATCATCTGTATTGATACCGTGACATAAAAAGCACAAGGAATGTGTTCTGTATGAAAGAAAGAAACACCATCAGTAAATTATTTTTAAAACATTTATCAATTCCAGTAAAATTCTTATAATTTTCCTCAGTAAATTTTTTTGCCTTTTTTCCTTTTTTCTTCTTTTGTTTACTACCTTAAGGCAGCGGTAAGTTTTCTGTAATGTCAGTTTTTAGTGATGCATTGACTTAATGTCTGTAGTGCTACGGTGTGGTTTGCAAGGCTGCTTCTTAGATTGGTATGCATTAATAGCCATTGCAAGTCCAAAAGTAACATCAAGTTCCATTTAGAGAACAGATCACTCTTTTCTATGCATCAGTATTGCATGCTTCAAACCAAAGTTCTGGCTGTGTATTGGGCAGCTTCACATCCTCTGGTCCGTGTCTAGAATGCCTCTGTATCCCTATGGTATCACGCAGTATCCAGTAAAACACTATCTACATGCATAGCCCAGTTGCTTAATTGTCCAGCTGAGCATGGAGAATTGTAAAATACTCTGAGCAGTATAATTTTACATGTATTCTGTTGTCTTTTATGACTTTATAGCAATACCAGTTTACAGACAGTGAGACAGATGTTGAGGTAATTACAGTAACTGCTTACAAAGCAAGCAATGCAGTACCTACTACTGCATTTCACCTTAATTTGGTGTGGGTATTTTTGTCAATCTAGCCTGTGTTTATACATGATATGTTGTGCTTTTCTATTTTGTCTGTTTTGTTTATGACAAAAATATTTATTTTCTGGTTTCAAACATGAACTCAACATGGCTTGTTGTTTTAAACCAACAAACTGTTTCACTTTCCATGTGTTGTGCATTTAGGTGTGGTTTTAAAAACAGTACTGTGTGTAATCAAATAAAGAAGTAAATACCAATAGTACATCATAAAATTAAGATCTTTGCATAATTATATTTCATCTTGTGGAATTAATTTTTTATAACTACCTAAGGAAAAATTTCAGATTATTTTAATGTAAACTTCTGCCAAAATAGTCACTTGTGAAACAGATAGTCCTGTTGGGCAAGACTACCAATTTTGGCAAGTGAAACAGTGCTGCAAGTTCACTTTTAAGTAAAAGTGAAAGAAACTTATCTCAAAGGCTTGTCACACCATAGAATTGCTACAAACTTTTAAAATTTAAACTCTGTGTTTCCATTATCTTTCGCTCATGTTGTAGTAGAGAATTACATTTTTCTGAGTTTTTTTTTTTTATTCTCTTAGAAAATCTTTTTACTTAGATTTTAATTTCTGTCTATTTCTGTTTGCTTGAATACTAATGTTAAATGTTTATATTTCCTTTGAACCACACACATTATATCCATCTTAGTAATTTCCCTTATGTTTTATTCCCCAAGATTTTGATTACTTTATTTTTTACAGGGTTTCTTTGAGGATGAAGATGGAAAGGAGTATATCTATAAAGAGCCTAAACTCACACCTCTTTCAGAAATTTCCCAAAGACTCCAGAAACTCTACTCTGACAAATTTGGAGCTGAAAATGTCAAAATGATTCAGGATTCTGGCAAAGTATGATCTTTATTCTCTCTAAAAAAATTATAATATACTGCTTTCACTAGTTTACTTGAAATACTGTGAGCTCACTGGCTCTCATTTGGCACAAAGCATCTGCATCTAAAAGCTCTGCTGTTAGAAAGGCATGAGAGGAATGTTATCTCTCCTAAGTATGCTTTTTAGAGCAACCAAAAAGCTTAATTTCTGTAGTGTTACCTCTCAAAACAGTAATTGTATCTTAGAACAAATTTGGATTATGATCTTATTCTGATCTTATATTTCTTGCGCATTCATGCACAATCATTCTTTGGAAGTTCTTCCCTTTTCCACACCTTAGACTTTATGGTGATTTTCTCCTCACCCTTAGATGTTATGGTGACTTCCTCATAGTATAATTTCATGGCTCTTTTTTGTTCCTTGATAAGGATCCTTTTGAATCCTTGATTCAAAAATTTCTGTGCATTTTGGCCTTTAAGTGCAGCAATGGTGGGCATTTCAATATTGGAACTTTAAAAGGAGAGGAGGACTTGATGAAAGGGCTGGGTTTCATAATCATGAGTGGTTAAAAAACCTCCAAAAACCAAACAAACAGTGCACTGTAATGCATCTGGCTGTCTTTCTTCCTAATAGTTAAAAACTGAATACAGGAAACCCCTATGAAAGCATGAACATTTCCCATGTTTTCAATAATTAAGAGGTTAAGAGACCAAATTTCATTTCTGGAAGTTGTGTGACTACTATTAGATCCACTTTATTCACAATGTAGCTATTTGATTTTTTTTGTCCTTTTTTTAAGGTAAATCCTAAGGATTTAGATTCAAAATATGCATATATTCAAGTTACACATGTAATTCCATACTTTGAAGAAAAGGAGCTGCAGGAAAGAAAAACAGATTTTGAAAGGACTCATAACATTCGTCGCTTCATGTTTGAGATGCCTTTTACTCAAGGTGGTAAAAGACAAGGAGGAGTAGAAGAGCAGTGTAAGCGAAGGACTATTTTGACAGGTACTGATGGAATGGAATGCTTTCACTGGAAGCATTAGTTCAAATGGTCTAATTTTGTTCTGTATGGGTTTTTTCATTTCACTTAACTAAGTGCTTTATAGCTATCAGCTAAAATCCTTTTCATATTTACGGCCACAACTAGGTTTTTCAGGTTGATTTCTTCAGTGAGGAATCCTCAAAATTATTATCTCCTTTTCCTTAAGCTTTCAGAATTCTGAATCTGGACTCTGGCTTTCCTTTTTCTTAGAAAAAGACTATTTTGTGTTTTGTCTCTGTTAAGTATGAGTTTCTGTATTAATATAGTTATAAAAACAAATAAGTGACTTTATAATAATAAAATGACTTTATAAGAAGAAGTGACTTTATAGCTGTCCATAGCCAGTACTTGTGAGGAAGTAGAAAATACAGCTTTGCTATTTTTGTTTCTTCTCTTCTTTGAGATTTGTGAATGTTAAGCAATTCTTTTCAGCGTTCTCCTGTAAATTAATTTCCAGTGGTTTATTTCTGGTGGTTATTAGTAGCAGTAATGATAGTGATCTTTCTTTGCTGTAATGCATGTAAGACTGTGCATATTTACATTTCAGCCTCTTGCTTCCCCGTCAATTTGGGGAATATAATTAGTATTTCTAATTATATAAGTTACTAAATTGGGCAGCTGATTACATCAAAATGAGATTTTAGCATAAGATTCTCTCAAAGCACACCTTATTAAAAAAATCTTCTCCTGACTGTGTTAAACTTGTTTCTGTCCACAGCCATACATTGTTTCCCATATGTGAAAAAGCGCATTCCAGTGATGTACCAGCACCACACTGATTTAAACCCCATTGAAGTAGCCATTGATGAAATGAGTAAAAAAGTTGCAGAGCTTAGGCAGCTTTGCTCTTCAGCTGAAGTTGATATGATCAAATTGCAGCTGAAGCTACAGGGAAGTGTCAGTGTTCAGGTAAGAGCTTTGCCATGAAGTTTCATTTGCTTCTGTCCTTGAAAAATTATATAAGTAGCATTTTATGGTTGGTTCCTATTCTGCACATTCAACAGTGTCCTAAATCAGAAATATGCTCACTCTCTGCAGTTATTTCATGAATAGGAAAAGAAATAAAAGTATTTAATATAAACTCAGATCAGAGACAGTTGCACAAAAGAATTAAGATTCATCTCTGGAATATGTTGCATTCCAAGCCCCACCAGATTTTGGTGTAAAGCTGAAACTGCTAGAAGATAATAGATGAACCTGAAGATAAATTAGCATATTTTGCCCACAGTAGGTCTAGGACATTTTTGTAAGAACCCTATGGAGATAAAGAGTGAGTGATAACATACAGGAAGAAGATAACCATAGAAAATCTCATTGTGTGTGCCTTTTTGCCTAAGGCAGGCAGGAAGTGGAATGTATAAGGAAGCCATCAGATTCACCAGAATGGGGTACCTGAAGCAGGTGTATAATAAAGCCTTGATCAGCCTTATCATAGGGCAGAGCAGTAGGGCTCAGGAGCTCAGTCCCCGAGTGGGGACCGGGTGCCCGAAGCTTGCTCATGCCAACGCCGCGGGTCAAACCCCTGGCAAGCTCAGTGATTCTCAGCTCTTGTAGTGAAGGCAAGCTCTTGGGATTTCAGCCCTGCTTGCTAGGTAAGTTTGCCCTTGGCTTGAGGCTGCAGCAGATGGAGAGAGAGGAGAAGGAGAGGTGCAGGCTGTTCCACAGAGATGGCTTTATTCAGGGAGGTCCGTGAAGGGTCCCAGCGACAGCTCTTCTTCTGACTAATGGGCTACAGCATGCTTCTCTTACAGGGTTGGACAGGATCCAAACTTCACCAATAGTAAAGGTTTAGGGGTATCCATAAATGACCAATAGTTAAGGGTTAAAATGACATTGCCTTATAGGGTAACAGAGATAGGCTATGGGGCAGATGTCCATGGAGACTGGAACTTCTTTGCTGCCTCAGCATTCCTATTATTCAGATCCTCCACGGTGCTTTTCCTAAATCTGTGGGGTTTACTACAGGTGTAGCATGAACAAGTCAGTATGGAAAGGATCTTCAAAAAATGCAGTGACAAATGTGCTGCTCTATTATTTTAAATTGATTGGAAACTAAGGAACTGTTCAGTCATCTGATTTGACCAGCTGTCTCATTCAGCAGAAAAGGGAAAAGAAAACAAACCAAGGTTCCAGAATCAGTAAGTTGTAAGCTAGTATTATGGGATGAGAAGGGAGAGGCTCTTGTTGATAATATGAAGGAATAATAAGGATGAGTCATAAGTCACTAAAACCACTTCTCCTGTAGCTGCCCTAAGAGCACAATTAAACTTCTGCAGGTTTTTGGAGAATTCTCAGCTTGCAAATCTGTTTTCAATAGATACACAGACCAAACAGTAGTAGGTTAGCTCATTTTCCCATCCTCATTTCATAACAGAGATGACAGATTGGCAATATCTGCAGTTACTTTGCCACATCATTGAAGTGGTTTCTTTGTGCCAGGACAGGTTTATAGCACTGAAGAGACCTCTCCTGCTTTAATGCTCCATCTTGAGTAGTTTTCTTGTTTTCTAAGTCCAGCTTTTTAGAAATCAATGTATTCTCATAGGAAAATCAAGTGCAATAGATGCCTGTAGCACCTGTTATTGCTAAGACAGTATGTCAGATATCTGACTGGTTTTAAATTCTTGTTCTTTTTAGGTTAATGCTGGTCCATTAGCATATGCAAGAGCTTTCTTAGATGACACTAACACCAAAAGATATCCAGACAATAAAGTAAAGCTCCTAAAAGAAGTTTTTAGGTATGGCATGGAAGGTTTGGGATTTCTTGGGGATGGGGGAGAGGGGGAAAAAAAAAAATGGACTTTTCCCATGACTCATAAAAATTCTTTTTGAAACTTTCAATTTTTGAAGTGTTCTGATCCATTAATAACATACTTTAAGCTGACATTTTAAATCAATCATTTGGATTTCTGTTTGAGAACTTTCTTATTTTCTCCAAATCAGGCAATTTGTTGAAGCCTGTGGGCATGCTCTGGGTGTAAATGAACGACTGATAAAGGAAGATCAGTTGGAATACCAAGAAGAAATGAAGGCAAACTACAGAGAAATGGCAAAAGAGCTTTCTGAAATAATGCATGAACAAGTATGTGCTGAAATTAAATTATGCATATTATCATTCAGAATGTAACTATAATGTGAAAAGAGTAGGGGAAATGTATGGGATGCTTTACACAAAATGATTGTTTCTTTTTATTCTTTCTATCAGAGTATAAGCCTGTCATGAAATTGTGGACCTTCATTTTTTTTGCTTGTGTATTTCCTTGGCACCAGCCTGGTTTTTTTGTAGGCAAGGAAGACTACAATAAAGATAAAACAATTGTCTTGAAATTAATAAGTATGATCTGCAAGTTTAGCCCTTTCTTCATTGATTTTGGAGGTATAAATAATTGCTTTTGCAACAAAGGGTTAAATGTCTTTCAAGAGGTATTCCAATACATCTTCTTGAGGGAAGTCCAATACTGACAAGCTAGAAATATGTGGGGAAAGAAAACTAGAACTTTAGTGGAGTGAGATGTACCACTCAGCCTTTGCATCTGGGTTCCATGGTAGAAATGTCTCATGAGTTCAAAGGCAAAGATATTATTTCCAGGAGGATAGGAAGAGCTGAAGTTCAGTGCTTGATCCCTGCATGCTTGACATTTCTATTCATCATATTCATCACTTCAGCCCTGTTTTCTTTCATCCACTGTTACTTTTATAACCTTTTTCCAGAAACATAGAGTGGTTTATAATTCTTAAGAGAGATTTGCCTTTGTTCAGCCTTTGCTTAGATGGTACCCAAAACTTTTAGGGGAACTTTTTTTCTGTTCAAAAATGTGCCACATGTCTAAAGCCCACTTCACATGCTTTCTTGCTTTCCATTATTTCCCAATGTGGTTTCTCAGGTGCTGTCTTCTGAGTAGCTCTGTGATATTATATAATTATGATGAAGCACATTGGCTTTATTTTCCTTCACCTATTTTGAAATCCTGTCACAGAGAAGGGCTTATGACATAACTCTTTAACTACCATCAATAGGAGACATTGTGAACCAAAATTTATAGGAAGTGATACCATTCCAGAATTGTGTGGTTGGGTTTGTTTTTTTTAATTAAAAACAGTAATAGAAGAAAACAGTTTTGAAAGATTTGTGGAACAGAAAAAGAATTTGTTTAGCTAGCAGAAGTGGCATGGTTGGACTATATTTCAATGTGATTTATTGATAAGCAGAGGAGGATTTGGAATGGAGGATAACTGATTGGAAAGCTGATTGAGATGAACAAGGTACATGAGAGAATTAGACAGCAATACAGAATACCCCTTTGGAAAGGAGAGGCAAGTGTTTTGGTCAAAGAATTTAATGATAAATGCAAGATTAGCATTTCCCTGGCATAAAAAATGTGTAAAAGAATATAATGAAAATTTGTACAGAAGAAAAAGTACTTTGAACTCAGTGGAAGATGTAGATGTTTAAAAAATGCTGACATGTGTGAGTTTCCAAAGATTGGTGATAAGAAAAAGCATGTCCTGGAACTTCAGATGTAAATCACATTGCCCCTACTTCTCTTGGTTTACATTTAGACAAACAACTGATATCCTTAAGACACTGTGAACAGAATATGAAGGTACAGCACTGACTGCAGTAATATATACTATAAGCCTACTACTGTGTTCTTATACAAATGTAATTAGTTGTACATAATTAAAACATGCCATGTTGTTGGTGGTTTTGCTTTAGGGTTTTGGGTTTTTTTCAATTAGACTGATAATTCCCCTGAAGGCTTAGAAACATGAAGGTCTTCACTTAAATCTTTTTAAATGCCTCCTTTATGTATCTGCCTATTGCTGTTTTGGGAAAAAGAGCTTTGCATCACTGAATAAACTATTAGCTGTAATGTAACCATACAAGGTCTTAACAACTGCAAAAAATTTGTGATAAAAATGCATAAAAGAATCTTACCAGATTTTTTTTTTCTCCTCTGCTGCTTGCCAATATGATCAGATGGGATGGTAATTAGTTTTCTCTACTTCTATTAGTTTGTCTAATCTTTATATAATTCCTTTTTTATGGTATTTCTAATTTTAGTGTCAATTTGTTTATAGCCGTTAAGAATTAAATTTTTTTGGTGTTTTGATAGCTTTTTGTGAGAAATGCTCAAATCATACCTCTAAGTCAAAAAAAAGGAAAACCAAAAAAGGGCAAAAAGTTAGCTTCTTGTCACTATGAAACTCCTTTTGAAAGTTAACAGGAGGAATGATGGAAACTGTCCAAGCACCCTCTGCAGAGGACAGTGTAATACCTAAGTTAGGAGAACTGATATTGGAGAAGTAACTTCTCAGTCTAGGAGATGGCTGAAAAGAGTAACCATTTCCAAAAAGTTTTGTGCAGTTGAAAAAGTACTGGGAGGTTGAGTTGATAAGCAGCACATCAAGAAATTGGTTAGCTGTTTTAGACATGCCCGTGCCATTTTGAAACATAAAAATAAATACATAAATAATAAATTTTGAAACATTTTGGTAAATACATGTCTTTCATTTTAAGATTACTCCAGTGGAAGAAAAGGCCAGTGTCATGCCCAACTCACTGCACATTTTCAACGCCATAAGTGGAACTCCGACAAGCACAACAGTTCACGGGATGCCCAGTTCTTCTTCAGTTGCATGATTGTTTTGTAAAGGAAAGTATGTTTGTTTCTTTTGAAGTTTGTGGATTTGCTTCTTTGTGTGCAAACTCAGGATGACCTCAAAGCTAAATGTTGGGCACATGCAAACTGCGTAGTTCATACGAATGTCTGAGCACACTTAGCAAATAGCAGTTACTGGTAATAGTCTTTTAGAGTAAGGGAGGCACACATATATATTTTTTAATCTTGCTGGTAAAATTTAAAAGTGTTCACAATGTCATTGCAGAAATGCGTGTTGGAAAATTATGAAGTTAGCTTCTGTTTTTCGTTAGAAAGTATTATTAAGATGAATTGCACATTACAAAAAAAGTGTTGTGGGATGTAATTTTGCAGATATGTAACATTCAGGTGTTCTTTTTGTGTATGGCACATAGAGATTCCAAGTACAAGAACTATTTTGGGGCTAGACAGAGACACTAGTTTTTGGGGTTTAATGGAACTGACAATAGTAGTTTTTGTACCATTTGGCAAATTGTTGTGCTTTATTTTATACCTTGTTGCATTTTGGAGGTATGCAAGCTTAGGTCTTACTGAACAACTAAATACAACCAAAGGTCTGTATTAATGAACACTGAGTTATACTAAAATATCAATAGTAGTAAATTGTTATGTACATATTGTTTGTTAATACAGTCCGTACAGTCTGTACATAAATGTATTACATTTCTAAGCATTTTTTTAATATTCATACCTGCTCTTACCATTCTGCTTTCAGTTTCTTTTGAAAATTTGCTCATTCCAAGTATATGCAGACTTTACAGTTCATTTATCCCTGTATATAAATAAGTGCAATATAAAGATGTATACAGTCTTTGCTATGTTAGGTTTATATGCAGTTATTAAAAAAATCTTTTTTGCCAAAGCAATGGAGTATGTAATTGGTAATCATGGTTACTGTGGTAAATGGTGGTATAATTTAAAGCTTTTTCCATATTCTTATTCTTTTAAGACATTAATTTAGTAATTTTATATTTGGGGAAAATAAAGGTTTTTAATTTTATTTAACTGGAAGCACTGTCCTGCTGTAATTAAACATTCTGTACTACATCTATATTAAAAGAAAAAAGGTAGTTACTTTTCCCACTGTGTGCTGCGTTTTTTTGTTTTAGATTCACCCCTGACATTTTGGAAAAATAAAAGCTTGAATTTAAAAAATGCCTTTTTGCATCCTGGGTATGAGATGCAGACACTTGTAGGTCTTATTTCATATTCCTTGTCAGTAAAGGCAATTAAATTATTAGTTGAGACATCAGTTTTGAGTCCCTTGCATTTCACTCTAGTACCATGTTACTGTAACTACAGGTTGTTATTCACCAGAACAGTTAGTATTAGGATGTCTTCAAAACTTTTCATCACATGGCAGTAGAAATCATCTTTTATTTATGACATAAGGTTTGCTGTCATTTTTCTGTATCACAGTGTGAAACACATATGTTGCCATTACTCATCAAAGGTTTTTTCTAAAGCAGCTCATCTTGGCAGTGAAATGCTGCATATACTCGCTTTCTCTATATTTCTGAAACAAAATTTCTCATTGTTTAAAATTCTTTCCTTCAAGAGGAAAAAAAGTCATATGCTTCTAGAGAGTGAACTCACAGTGCTGTAAGAGGCATTTTCTTCTCCTCTGCCCTAAATGCTTCACACCTCTGTTCATCTGTGGAAATAGGTGTAGGAACACCTACCTCAAAAGGTGTTTCATTATTGGGAGAATATAGAATATATCCTGTAAAGCTGTTTTGCCACTCAGGAAGACTTCTGTATCCATGTATTAAGAGCTATTGTATCACCATTGCTTTTTTAATTGCCTCATTTTTTCTGACTTTTTCCGCTTTGCCTTGGGAACAGAACTGACAGTTTCCCTTTTGCACTGAGACCTCACTTGGGTTAAGATGTATCTGACAACTAACCTATAAATGTAGTATGTATTCAGAAGTGAATATGTATGTGTGTGTGTATATATATATATATATGTATGTATATATATGCACACACAGTGGCACATATACATCTAAATATATGTGTAACTGCTTTGCTGAACCTTGGCCTATGAAAACCAGCAAGCTGTAGTTGACATTGCTGTAGGTTTACACAGGCTTAAATCATTTAAATCATTAATGATTAACACATAAATGACATGTCTATAGACTTAATCTCTTGTGATGCATTTCTATGAGGGAACACACCCTCTACTGTTTAAGCTTTATACATAGCAATAAATGTGGGTGTTTTCTTCCTGAATAATTCCTTCTGTACTACCTGTACCCTTCTCTGTTGTTACTTCTGTAGCATGTAAATTAATTATCCAGTGTGGGTTAATTTATTTATAAAGACTTGGGCTCTGTGCAGGTTTTTGTTTAATTTTCTTCACAGTAGCTGGTATGGGGCTGTGTTTTGGATTTGTGCTGCAAACAGCGTTGATAACTCAGGGATGTTTCAGCTGTGGCTGAGCAGTGCTTGCAGAGAGTCAAGGCTTTTTCTGCCTCTCACCCCACCAGTGATCAGGCTGAGGGTGCACAGGGAGGGAGGAGGGGACACAGCCAGGACAGCTGACCCCAGCTGAGCACAGGATTGTCCTGTACCATATAGGTGTCATGTGCAGCAATAAAAACTGCAGAAAAAGTTTGCCAGAGCAGCACTTCCTCAGGGAGTGGGGTGGTCATTGGTCAGCTGCTGGCAGCAATTGAGGGTTTTTTGCATAATTTCTTTTTCTTGGTTTTGTTTTGGTTTTTTGACGTATTAAACTGTCTTTATCTGGACCCACAAATGTTCTCATTTTTACCCTTCTGATTGTGTCCCCTATCCTGCTGCAGAGGATTGGGGAAGCAGCTGGATGAAGTTGAATCACAACAGTCCTGTTTTGGCACTCAGTGTCAGGCTTGAAGGGTTTGAGATAACAGATTTGACCACAGTGTGTTATAGAAGGAACTGATAATTATTATCAGTTTGACAGCTGTTGGTCATAGTGTTGATTTACTTGTTCACAGTATTAGTTTATTAGTTTGTCTAATCACTGCCATGCTCCCTATTTCTTCCTTTTTCTTCTTTTTTTTCTTCTTCTTTTTTTTTTTTTTTTTTTTTTTGCTGTACGTCAAATTTGAGAGCTTGTTAAAGGCTGAATTTTCAGGGTATCATTTGGTTGCGTTTTGCTTGGGAGAACTATTATAAAAGAGTTGGCCTTGAACCTAAACTGGTATTTGGGCCCTGCATTGTTGCTGCCCTCCCTGCAGCAACAATGTGCTGTGCCCTCCCTGCACTTTGGGAGCCATCTCATGAGGACAATGAAATTAGACATTTTCCCTTTTCCAAGAACCACTTGGTGGATGAAAGAAAGAATGGTGCCTTCCCCTTCTTTTCTTGTGGGGTAGATGTTTTCTCCCTTTCTACAGTAACTCTTCAGTATCTTGGATACCCTTTGGTAACTAAGATATTCGTACTGGCATCAAGTATATTTTTCCAGCTTTTCCTAAGTTTAATTCAAGGATATCACACAGGGGTGTGTCCCGAGGCAGTATGGTCATAGGCAGCAAGGCATGTGGGACAATACAGGCAGGTGACAAGGATTGTCACCTCTGGCAGTCTGGGACTTCACCACAGAACAAGTACAGGGTCTGGAGGTGATCAAATATTTGACAAAAAAGGATATCTTGGCTATGGCAGAAACACAGCTTAGCACTCTGCCAGGGCTGACAGTTGGCTACCAAGCCCTGCTTGGGAAACCCTCAAGTTTCCAATTCATACTCTTCAAAAATCTTCTTTCAAGTTGCTGAGCGGGTTCTGTTTTACTGCTGCCAGAGTTAGATACACAACAGCAACTTGTAATAGGTCATGGGGGTCTTTGCAGTTGGGTCTGAGGATGGACATGGTAAGCAGTAAATGAAACTTAACAAAAATGTTACAAATATTGTTTTAAATAGTATTTAAGTAGAAATAAAATAAGTATTAAGAATAAGTATTTAAGTTGAAATATAATGATTTCAAATAAAACTGTGTCTTTGGATGGACCTGGCTCTTAATGAAAGCACCTAGTCTAGGTGCTAAGGCAGGGAAGGTTTTTTCTTATATCCAGTTTCTGTTATCTTTGATTTCTTTATGACAAAACTTCAGTACAAAGGAGACATCTGAGTCACTGTCTGTCATGAAGGTTAGCTGTTAAAATTTATGAAGACTGTTGTTCTGTGGTTTTTCATGAACTGAAAAATTCTGTATTTAATTGTATACAGACTGGGAGTCCTGGAGCTTCCTGCAGGAAGAAAAAAAGAAAACTGGCAGATAATGAAAAAATTCAATTGTTTTTATGATATTTTGAAAGTGACCATTTTAATATCTTTAAAATATTTTGCTGGTGGGTTTTCTTTCCTTTTTTAAGTATTACAGTGAATATATGAGTTATTTAGAATCTTTTAGACTCTAAATGCATGTTCTGGTCTCAACAGAAATTAACAATTAAAATTATATCTAGAGAATAGGCAGTATATCCTTTTCAAGTTAACTGTAATAGATATTGGGGCTTTTTTTGCTGGTATTTTCTACTTAGGAAGGAGTTTTGTAATTTCTTCTCTCAGTGCAAAACTTGCAACTTTATTTTTTTTCCCTGAAAAAACAATGTGTGATTGATATTAGTAAAATACCTTGGAAATGCTACACCTTGTTTTATTACGTTGTAAATGATGAAAAAAGCACTGAGAGTTTTCTAGCTGCGTGGTTCTGTTTTGCTGTTTGGGTTGTGCTGTGAAGGACTAGCTGGAAAGACAAAAAAAAGGAGGCTGGAGGGAATTGGGTAAATAACCTTTCACTATGAATCCTTAGAACATCTTTTTTTTGTGTGTCTCTCTCTCTGTCCTGTAAGATTCATTGACACCAGATACCTGAACAGCAAGTGGAGCTTCTTGGGATAGTGGTTTTTGTAGCTAGTGCTGTATAATCTGTTCATGTTTATCACTGTGATATCTGACTCCCAAAAATGTGGAAGTTTGATGTGACAAATTAAGATGGGGAACATGAAAATTGTGACCATAATTGGCAGAACTGCAGCTGAGGCCTTCAAAACACACTCATCTTCCAAAATAAAAAATCTTTTACATTAGTTTTGTTTCAGTTTAATATTTTAAGAATTGGTATAAGGTTTAAGCAGCTTTATACAAATATAGTTTTCAAATTAATTGAAGTAACACATCAAATTTCTTTCCAAGTGTATGAGGGAAAGCAGATGCCTACCAGCCTAGAACAGTTACCAGACTTGATACAAGAAAATGCTGGTAGCCACTGAATAAGTAACTTCGAGTTAACATTTATAATGTTTGGGGGGAAAAAAATAGAAGAGGATTCTGAAGCCTGGAAGAAGTCTGAAAAGAAAGTGACTGCATGATTTTCTTCCAGTCAGCATTATTAGCACCAAGATAGAAGTGAATCTTCTCATAGAGCTGGTAAGTACCTTTTATCAGTGTTTTATCAGGGTTTTTATCAGTGGTGTGGACTGTAAAAGGAAGAAACAAGAAGTTCCCAAGGATGTACGGATAACTGCAAGAAAAGGACCTTAGTTCAGCAAAACTGTTCAATTCATTGTTCATTCCATAACTCTCAGAACTCCATGAAAATTGCAATACTGACTATTCCATGATGAGCTGCACACCCCTGCAAATTCTTTATCCTTATTACAATTCTTCCAATCTATTAAAAAAATGAGTCAAAAACATCTATTAATATTTATAAATAACACGTAATCTGAACAGATAGTAATTTGACCTCATTTTCTTTAAATAACTTCAATCTCAATTCAGGTTGTTCCTGAATAGTTGTTATCAATTATTCCATGTTATGGACTCATGTCACCAGCCCCTCTGAAATGATTGTATTCTTCCTTCCTAGGAGATGCAAGGAAACAATCTTACAGACGAAGCTACAACCTTTAACTGAGCAATATGTGGAATAATCCCTCCCGTGGAAGGATCATTACAGCAGGAACACACAGCCTGGGAGGTTCCAGCAGGGCACTGATGGTAACTTTTGGACACGGGTGGTGGAAGAGTCATGAAGGACCTGTGCTGCTGGACCTTGAACTAAGAAGGAAGGACAAGTTTGGG